TAAGTCACTGTAATAGTGTAATGTAATCATATATAAACTATTTTTTCAAAATCCTGTTTTGCATTTCAAACATTCCCAGTTTTTATTTGTTTTTCTGAAATACCAACTAGGTAGATTCACTTTCCTACCAGAAAAGATTCTGAAGTAGAAAATCGAAGCATTGTATAAATGCACCAAAACGTGATTGGCACAAATAATAATAAAAATAAAAGGTGGACAAGTGAGTTAGGTTAGATCTGTTGCACATAAGTGTTCCAGCATTTGTCGTTATAATATTTGAATTCAATGATATATCATTGTATACGAAAAACGATTCAGAGAAGAGGCGTTGTGTCTGCCTACAGCATAGGTATACTAATATAAAATATAATCAAATTTAATAAAAATCGAAATTATCTCATGGTTGATGACTATAAATAGCTTAACTTACAGGTGATTTTTTTCCTTTTGATAGACATAAATAAGTTGTTGGGAACCTTCTATTAAAATTTCTAGTGTTAGCTACTTATTAAAAGAAAAACTTTTATGAATTTCTAACTGAAAAATAATATACAAAATTTTACCATTCATGGAAAATGCTAATATAAATATTTGATGAAAATGTCAATGCTCTACGGTGGTCGGTTGTTAGTTTTTGAGTTACACCAAAAAAATAAAATAGACTTTTTCATAATAAATAAATAAAAAATAAACCAATAACTTCAATGATATTTAAAATAGTCAATTTGTGAACTTGATCCGTGATTTTTAATATAAATAAAAAAATAAAACAATCCATTTTTAAATCGTTATTATTCATACCCTTGAATTTCACTAACAGTCTCAAGTTTGTAAAAATGATATGAAAAGTTCAGGGACTAATACGTCTATGCTCATTTTTGTTTGACAGTAAAAAGATGAGTCTCAGATTTTATAATATTAGTATATCCTCTGTCTTTTTGACCAATTAGGTACCGTCAAACTGATAAGGAAAATTGAATTATTTATTAATTATTTCCTCGAACGCGTCGAAGAATATTAAAAAACGTCGTCTAAAACATTACAATATTTTAAAATTACCCGGTCCCATTGTATATAATATATTATGGCATATGACTGGTAACCAGGTTACGCGGATCTAGAAATGAAAAAAGGGGGGGGGCTAAACAAAAAATTTACTTAAAGTATATAAAAGCATGGGCATTTAGTTTAAGTTTTTTTATTCATTATATTATATGCTTATTATAAGAGATTATTTAATAATTATTTTAATAATAACAAACTTTAATAAACATAACAAATTAAATTGACCAATTCTCCGTTTTTATTCTTCTAGATGATCTTGAAAATATATTAGGTAATCACTTCATCAATATTTAAAGGTATGTTTTTATGAATATTTAAAACAGCTAAACCGTTTAACGCTCCTGTCCCATGGTGACCTCAAATAATTTTTTAGGAAACCTTACTGAAGAGAAACTTCTTTCTGCATTAGCTGTGGATACTGGTATGGTAGCAAATAAATGTAATAATGTTGTATAATGATAGGAAAAAATTCATCACAGTTTTTTAATGTTTCGATCACCGTATCGGGTTTCACAGTTTGAACATTGTGCCACTTATTCTTCCATATTGATATTTCTGATTGTATATCCAATTTTTGACCTGACCAATCTTCACTATATATCGTCGCAGCTTTAATAATATTTGATTCATCATATTTATCAATATGTGTGGGAATCAATCCTTCTAAAGGCATTACTTCACTTAACTTTTCATTGAACCTATTAATTTTTTAGTTAGGAAATCAAATGATCAATAAATGGTAAAAAAATAGTAATTTGTTCTTTTGTGCTGATATCTGTAGTTTCGTCACATAATATAGAAAAGTACTTGTTTTTTGCCTCCAGTCTCCACTGACGTGCCCCTCCGTCCGACCCTCGATTTTCTCGAAAGTCGTCGCGTACCTACACATCAGAAAATAAATGTATCCGCGTCCCATTCTGGGATTTTGTACGAAGTCTTTCTTATTTTTTGAAATATCTTAAGTACCGAAGTCTTAGTCTAAGGGGGGGCTTCAGCCCCCATAGCCCCCCCTTTGTATCCGCTCATGCTGGTAACTGAAATTAATCGACTTTAAAACAATGTATAGCACTATAGCCATACATAGGTTATTTTCCTTCATGTTTCATCTTTAATCTGCAGCTAGGTGGCAGATTATGTGTCGTGTAATAGGTACCTACGGGCTGCAAACTGCAAGAGTTTGTAGAATCTTTGTAAAACAACCAAATAAGACTTTTTGGTTAAAACATGGTTATTGTCTTGCTTTCATTTTCGAGTAGCGATTTAAGGAATATAATAATATGATAATTTATGGATAATATATGTGCATAAGTTAATAAGTACTTTTATAAAGTTTTTAAAATAGCTGATTAGTGTTCTAGAGATTTTTGAATCGATTCATTGCAATGCCACGACCAGGATTTTTCAAGGTATGAGAGGGGAGGCTTATAAAACCTGCACATTTATTATTAGTTATTGAAATGTAAAAAAAACCTATAAATAACCAATGACAAGATCCAAAATATAAAAAAGACTACCAATGGACTAGGTATCTATTATAGAAATTATCAAACTGAATATACAATTGTTTCCCATCAATAAAATAGCGTAATATTTAAAAATCCAAATTTTGATTAAAATATGACACGCTCTGGGTGTACAGACTACGGATCCGGAGTAGTCTACCCCCTTCGACGCCACTCCGATTCATTGTTGAGTCAAGGACAGGTTCGATTATAAAGGTACCTGCCAGAGTATAATTTGCATTATAATATACCTACTGTAAAAAACTCGTGACAAAACGCTCTAACTTACTGGAGTGTACCCACCTATTCAACACAGTGTAAGGCAAAAAGGGTAGAAACAAGTATTTACAAGTGCTATTGTCTGCACAGTAAACACATGAATACATTTAATTTTTTGTTGCCTTGTCCTTATTATATTTATATTGACTCCTATGACCTGCGAGATTTATTTTTATTTACTTACCTACTGCTTTACTACCAATAGACAGTGAATATAGAGTAATGGAGTATGCAATTGTTTAGTAATTAGTTATCCCTTCAATTTCAAAAACTTTCCATCGAACTGATCCAATTTTTAATTCATAAACGACATACCGTCATTCCATTTTTTAGCAGACAATCAGTTAGTACTTAGTACCTAAATACTATATTCCATTAATGTATGCTTAACACTATGTCATAATTTCACGTTATTTTAAATTCCATCGCAATGAATGTATTGATTTACAACAGTGTTTTTTTTGTGTTTGAAGACACATTTTACAGTAGAAAAAAAGCTTATGATCTTCAACTTCAGCATATTTTCCGTTAGGCAAGTGGGACAAAATTGATTTTTTTATTTTGTTGCAATTCATAAACCAATAACCTAATAATTAGTATTTAAGTAAATACTACTTGAAATATTCATCAAATGTTTATTTTAGCATTTTCTATGCAAAATATAAAAAACAATATGTTCATTAGTTCAAACAGCTTGAAAATTTAATACAAGGAATTAAATAAAATATTTGTCAAAATCACAAACATTTGAATATCATTATGTAGTTAATAATTTGTAAAATGTTCAATTTTTATAGCTAAAGCAAGAAAATGAAATACATGGTTTCTCTGTTCTCATAAGTAGTTCATACTGGAATCAAATCATCTAAAAAATATATAATACAATATTTTTTATAGACATTTAAAGTAAAAATGTTTAAACAAAGAATAATAATTTGTTATTATGTTGTACTTAATTCAAAAATATTGTTTGTGTGGATCTTAAACCTTGAACATAATATTTTATACACACAATGATATTTTCAAAGAAATGTTTTTGGCAAAAATTAATTTAACCTACTGTATTACTATTGTGAAATAAATTACAGCAATATAAATCTTGGATGCGAGGTCATAAAGAGTTGTCATGTTTTTTTTAAAAACCTGGTTGCTGTGAATGTGATGTGTATTAAAGATAATATATTAATATTATGTTTCAAATTTTCATTTTTAAAGAGTCATGTCAATTTATATCGTTTTGATTTAATAATAAAATACAATTTTAAGATATTATTGGATTAAGTCAACTAAATCATTTCAGTTTAAATATAATCAATTTCATTTTAAAATCAATTGGGGTTAAGTTATTTAAAATAGATATTATAAGCTTAAGTCATACATTTTTTTTTTTAAATATGATCATAAGGAGTTAAGTTTTGGTCAAAATGATATGTCAATTTTCTAAAAAGTGAGTTTGAGTAAAGTACACAAAACTTAAAATTAAAAGTATATATAAGTTTGAAATGGGTATAACAAAGTTTATGTAATAAAAATTTGATTTAGGAAAAAATTTCAAACTTTTAATAAATCTTACTGAAAAATCATAATTTTTGACTTAACACTTTTTGACCGTGCACCAAAGAAATATATCATAAAATTTAGTTATTAGACTGACGACCATCTTGGCTCAAAATTGTTTTTTGTATGCATTATTGCAATGATTTATCATTGAAATCAAATTTAACATATATATTACTAAGACTTCCTTGATGACTAGATACACTGGACACCTACAGTAGCATCAGTACCTTTTTTTATTAGAAAGTATTATAAAAGATAGGAGAATTACCTAAATACTCTTGAGTTTTGAATTTTTATAAACCCGTTCAATAAAATCAAAAGGAATATACATGGAAAAATAATATTTTGTGAAGATGTATTTAAGAATTTCACCAAAATAATATACGCCATTAATTTATTTGAAATCCACAATTTAATTAATTTTTATTGAACATTATTATTATACAATTATAAAATAAATCAAGTTCTTACAGAAAAAAAACAAATATAAAAACAAAAACCCTTAATATTATGAAAAATTATAATTAATCTTTTTTGATATTATCAAGATTTATGATTCAACTAACCACTAAATGGTTATCTTTTCATGTTGATTTATTTCCAAGCTTGTTTTAATGCTTTTTGCGAGGCAAGGTTTTTTGTTACATAAGCACTTATTAAAAGAATGTGGGTAACAATAATTATTACTAGATAATCAAAATCTTCTTTCAGTACATCAAACGTTTTAGAAGGAGCCACTCTTGTATAAAATAAATCTAAAACATAAATAAAATTTTTTTAAATAATTGCATGAATTATCTTAAAACAATAACAACAATAAAATTACCTAATCCATAAACAAAAACTAAGCATGTAGATTCTAGACTGCTGGGTGTAGTGTATATACCATCAACTCGCATAAGACTTTTGTTATAATTGATCATAGATTCAGATGGCATTGGAAGTTCAGGGATGTACGGTATCGCTCCTTCTTCTTTAGGTTCACCTAATGGTCTACGAGGGTCTAAAAATGCCCAAGGTACTTCTAATAAATGACCAGTTGTAGTAGCCACTAAAAATATAATGGTCATTAATTTAACATAATTATACTATAAATTCTAAGATCTATAATCAATGACAAAAGTGAAAGCAATATAACTTACTTAATATATGTTTGCTGGTAATTCCTTTTTCAGTGATGGTTGGTTTCATGGCTTGTAAAAATCCAGGAAGTATGTAAGCTTGCTTTTCTACAATTGGGGGGATTAAACTACCTCCAACGGAAGAAAAATCTAAAATATATACATATTATTGAATAAGATAGTTAAAGCTACATTTTAATTATAATATTAAAATATATTTTATGTTACCTGAAGAGTTTGAAAGTTGATTTCCATCGTACAGCTCATAAGATGCTATTTCAGTTCGTCTAGTTTTATCATTGTAATAGGAACATAATAGCCAATTTTCAGAATGAACCAAATGTATAGGATGAGAAGCTCGTTTATGAACAACAGAGTAAATAATTATACCGCTGACTGCATCCAACAAATGCAACGTCAAAACACCTAAAAACAATAATTAAGTTGTAGACAATACAATTTTTACAAAATTTAACATACTTTTATGTGTTGTATCAGGAGCCAACGTCAAAATAGCCACCATGTTGGGATTGATATATTTGTATAAAACGCTTCTGTCACTCAGAACTCTACCCTGAGAATGTACATGTTCCATAGCGTCTCGTGAGCCAATCGCTATTATTTGAGTAGGTTTATTGAATTGTGTTTTCCAAACTTCTTTAGCAGAAAGCTCCTAAGAATAAATGTACACAAATTAATTTTAATGTAAATAAAAGTATTAGTGAAATTACTAACCTTTCCTGAGATTGGTACATTAACAGTGAATCCTTGCAATAATCCATTTGTAGGATTAGCAATGTATATATACAATGGAGGTGGTTTAGAGGATAATGGTGTATCAGCAGGATAAAGATGAGGTGAATTGGAACTGTCAAACAATATTAGACTACGGACCATCTCAATATTCAAAACTGGAAGAGGAACAGCTTGTACAACTCTGTATGGAACTTGTGTAACACCATCTGAATGAATTGAAAACAAGTAACAATAGTTAGCAATATTATAATTTTAGGGAAGACTGAAGAATGGGAAATTTGAATTACATACTTTTGGATTCACCATTAATTGGGTAAATGTAAACAAACTGTATTTTCTGAATCCTACATTAATAACAAAATTGAAAATTATTTTATGTTAAGTAAAAATATAATAATAAATTACTTCGCTTTTCAATAACAGTGTACACATTGGTGAATATGATAAATGTTTTGAGTTTCTTTGTAAATGCATAGGAGCTGATGGCAATCCATTAACCCTGTTTTCATAAAATGTTCCAACACCACACAACAAAACAGACCAGAGAATTTCACCATTTAAATTGTCAATTCCAAATATCTAATACATAAGGAAAAATAATCAATTAGTACCTAATTAATATTATACACTTGAAAGTATTTCATAATTTCATTACCTTTCCTGCACTAGTAACAGTTACAATAATTTTATGTAAACCAAATTGATCCCGAACTAGATTACTTTTGGTTCCAGTCGTTTCAGAAGGTGATTCAATTATTCCAAGAACAGTTGCAAATAGAGTGCGTAATTGTTGTAACTGACTGAACAAACGTCGAACAAACATACTGAAAGCGCCAGCTACATAAAATAAATTAATAAGTATTTTTTTTTTTCCAAAAAATAATGATGTATTTATGTAAAATAAATGTAAAAAAATATCAAAAACTACAAAAAAAAATAAAAATAAAACATATTTATTTGAACACAAAAATTCAAACTTTTACAACACTACAAATAAACCTTTATATCACTCATCATCACTCACTTGATACACTGTGATCCAAAAATGCTTGGGCACAAACATTTATAAATATTTTTAAACATAACTTGTATATTAGTTTTCATTATTACTTTATATTATATAGGCTAAGTTTAAAATACTTACATTCTTTGTTTCCAAATTCTTTTTCAATTGCTGCTTCAATATCAGAAACTGGTAAATCCACAAACTCTACATTTATAATATTAGTTAAAGATTCTTCTCTGTGCCATTTTATTGAACCTAATTCATGTGGACATTGTATATTATTATATTTGTTAAAATTATTTATAATAAATAAAATATACAGTCAATGAAAACATTATTAAAATTAAGGTATCATCACCTAATATAACATGACAAATTATAAAGAATAATCGTAATTTTTTTAGAAGGTTATTTTAATATTTTGATTTTTCAGAAGATTACAAGTAACCTTCTAAAATATTTAAAATTTTTATTTATTTATAAACTTTCTTAAAAATTATCCAAAAACTGCAGATGATATTCTTTATAATTTGGATAATTATTATAATTTCAGAGATTTTAACGAGAATAAACATTTTAAATTTGTTGTATTAAAAAGAAAAAAAATTAAAAATATGCTTCGACTGATGCAAAGTTAACTTGTTTACAAATTCAAACATCATTACATTTTTTAAATCAAACTTAAGCTTTTGATGTCATCTTGATGTAAATCGTATGGGGTTTGCAATATCCCTAACTATACTAGTAGATAATCAGTAAGTCATGGACACTCTGGACAATTGTTTATTTTTGGATAAATATGACTGATTTAACTTAATTTTTTGAACCCGTAAAAATTATGAAACAATTTTTTCGTACTTTTGTATGAAACTTGACTAATTTTTATAGATTTTACATGATTTTAAAGGTGCATACCTGTTGTGATTATACATTAGTGCTTTGTAATTTTATTTCTTATATATTTTTAAGTTTGTTTTTGATTATTTTCCATAGAAAATGATTTAGATTTCCGGAATTTTAACAATTATTGTAAACAAAAAAATACAAATAATTTGAAAAAACTACTATTTTTTACAGATTGAAAAAATAGATATAGTCAGTTCAAATATAATTAACAAAATGAGGGATAATAAGTTGCGACGGCTCGGTCATATTCTGAGGAGAAGTGGCTTAACAAGCAGTGAGTGTGGCTATGTTTATAAATGTTGAAGGAAATAAGGAACAGACCAAATAGAGAAAGACACAAAATAGCTGGTGCGAGCAAGGAGAGTATGGGATGGAGGTTTGTGTTGGCGTAGAACCCTTGGCTGACCTTATATAGATGGTGAACAGAATGGCGAAGAAGAAGAGTTTAATTTTAACAAAAAATAAACTATTGTACACCAAATCCCTGACTTACTCATATTTATCAAACTTAAAATAATACCCATATTTTAGATTAATAGTTTGATGTTTGATAAATTATAATAAATGAACCATGTTATAGGGACATAGGTATTGCATACAATTATAACTCAATTATTATTATTCATTAAATTACCTGGCATTTTAAGAAGCATTTAAGATTGTCTTGTGTTGAAACTAAAGCAACACAGTTAACTGTATTTGCTTTACTACGTCCACAAAATGCAGAAGATATTCTTGGATTTGAAATTTTTAAAGAACTCTTAGACTCCTTTGATGACAACGTTCAATCACAGTAGAATCCTCTAATATCGAACCTCTGTTGACAATGGTGTCCTAAAAAGTATTATTACAATAGGTATTAATTATACAGAGTGGAAAATCACCTATTTCAATTTAATACCCTATAAATAACTTTTTAAGAAAATATAAAAAAAAAAAATTAAATACCTAAGATAACTTAAATCTTTGGATTTCAAGAAGATAAGCTTATATGAATTAAACAATTAAATATGGTTTCAATTTTAGTAGATAAAACAATAAATTAAAAGGATTGTTTTTATATATTTCATTTCACTAGTAGGTATATAGAAATGTGTAAATAAATAAAGAACTTTGTTACTTCATTCCTCTTAATACTTCTATAAATATAGAATAATAAATAACTATACATCTTAAATAAGAAGACACTAATATTAGAAGAGGTTGTTAAATGTAATCTTATTTTTTAAAAGATTGTGATAACTTTAGTCTAGCACTAAGCCGACACCGATACAGATACGTTAGTACATTTTTCTGTCATCATATTTAAGTAAAAATATAAATGATTATGGTTATTGTTGGTTAATTTATAATTTATATTGACAGCTACAATCCTATACAAACAAAAATGTTGAACTTGGTTGTAAATCATATAAAACTATAACAAATTGTATAAATTGTGTAATACATACTTGCATAGGTGAAGAATTTGTAATAAAATATGCCGTCAGCCATATGTATATATAACGATGATGATCTGGATGTTGAAGATCGTACAGAATTTTATTTTCTTTTACGTAAACTAATTTTTCTACATTTTATTTTTAACAATAAATGCAGGTATTGGGCTTCCAGGGATGGCCTCAATTTTATCTCCGATCATATCAAGACCTAAACGATCCGTATTAGATTTTATTAATGATCCAATATTTAATTTTCCATCCACATCAAGACAGGCTAGACTTCCAGAGGATAATAAATACCCATATTTTAGATTAATAGTTTGAATGTTTGATAAATTATAATAAATGAACCATGTTATAGGACATAGGTATTGCATACAAATTATAAATCAATTAATTATTATTCATTAAATTACCTGGCATTTTAAGAAGCATTAATGATTGATCTTGTGTTGAAACTAAAGCAACACAGTTAACTGTATTTGCTTTACTACGTCCACAAAATGCAGAAGATATTCTTGGATTTGAAATTTTTAAAGAACTCTTAGACTCCTTTGATGACAAACTTTCAATAACAGTAGAATCCTCTAATATCGAACCTTCTGTTACAATGGTGTCCTAAAAAGTATTATTAACAATAGTTATTAATTATTACAGAGTGGAAAATCACCTATTTCAATTTAATACCCTATAAATAACTTTTTAAGATAATATAAAAAAAAAAAAATTAAATACCTAAGATAACTTAAATCTTTGGATTTTCAAGAAGATAAACTTATATGAATTAAACAATTAAATATGGTTTTAATTTTAGTAGATAAAACAATAAATTAAAAGGATTGTTTTTATTTATTTCATTTCACTAGTAGGTACATAGAAATGTGTAAATAAATAAAGAACTTTGTTACTTCATTCCTCTTAATACTTCTATAAATATAGAATAATAAATAACTATACATCTTAAATAAGAAGACACTAATATTAGAAGAGGTTGTAAAATGTAATCTTATTTTTTAAAAGATTGTAATAACTTTAGTCTAGCACTAAGCCAACACCGATACGGATACGTTAGTACATTTTTCTGTCATCATATTTAAGTAAAAATATAAATGATTATGGTTATTGTAGTTAGTTATAATAATTATTGAGAGCTACAATCCTATACAAACAAAAATGTTGAACTTGGTTGTAAATCATATAAAACTATAACAAATTGTATAAATTGTGTAATACATACTTGCATAGGTGAAGAAATTTGTAATAAATATTGCCTGTCAGCCATATATGTATATATAAACGATGATGATCTGGATGTTGAAGATCGTACAAGAATTTTATTTTCTTTGACATAAACTAATTTTTCTACATTTTTATTTGTAACAATAAATGCAGGTATTGGGCTTCCAGGGATGGCCTCAATTTTATCTCCGATCATATCAAGACCTAAACGATCCGTATTAGATTTTATTAATGATCCAATATTTAATTTTCCATCTACATCAAGACAGGCTAGACTTCCAGAGGATAATGCACAACTAAAAATATTTAAAATATAATCAAAAGTAGAAAATACATAACATATAACACATTTTTGATATTACCGATCAGAACCACTAAACCAATGTGCAGGAAAAGTATAGGTAGCTTTTCCTTTTACACCGGTCTCTAAATGGTAGGTGTCAACAGCTATTAAATTGTTTGAATAATACACATTATGAAGGAGTCCGTTAAATACAAACAAATACAGGGCATAACTAGACTCTGTACTCCATTCAAAATGTAAATATCCATCTTTGACATCCCATCCTCTAACTTTGATTACATCAACTCCACTAACTGTAATGATTTTAGATTTGGTTGGATGTATTAGTTCAACACTACCTTCGGGTCCTTTTTCCAAAATTTGTCTCCAAATAATATCACCTAAATCCAATAAACCAAATTAAGAAACATTTACAATTAATTTATATGTTACTTACCAGTGTCTATAGCTAAAGAAGCAACAACATTTTTCTCAGTTGCGACATATAACCTTTTTGTTGTTACGTCAACATCGATTGATGAAAATTTTACTTCACCAACATAATCTTGTTTCCTGAAGAATGAAATTCATAGTAGTAAATACAATTTTATTTAAATAGATTATGAAGCATTAAATAATAGAAAACCATTGAATAATTGAATACTGGTAATGACTAAACATGTTAACAGGCAATTCATTCAAATAATTAAAGAAAATGTTTAGGTTATCAAATGAGTAATAATATAAATATAGAGAGCTATATAAAAATTAATATATATATATTTTAAAAATACTTTAAAATACAGCCAGTCATCAGATAAATGATTAATTTATTTATTAATCAGGTTGTGAATTGTAGGGTAAAGTGTATATAGTGGTTATTGTGTGGCATGTTTAACTGGTAGAAAAAAATAATTTTGGCACAGGTGATAATAAATTTAATGTTTTATAAGAATTCAATTATTAGATTCGCCTAAACACCACTGGTATTTTTCTTTTTTTTCATATGGCGTTATGTCCGGGAGTAGGCCCAAAGGCCTAGTTCGGATGCCTATTTGGCAGAATTTCTACTTGGGCACCCTTAGGTTTCTGCCATGCCTGGTTGGGGCAAGGCTGTCTCGCCGTCTAGACACAGAGAGCTATGCCGCCCGTGGCCGGGATTTGAACTAGCGATGGTGCGCGTTACAACCGACGCCGTAGTCCACTCGGTCAGTCTGTCCCCCACACTGGTATAATGAACCATATCAACGATATTGTTCAAACATCCCAGTGAGTTATTTTTTTCACTTTGGTTTGGACGATCAGATTTAGTGGAGAGTCACACGACAGGTTCACTTACCAGTCAAATTTTCCAGCCTGGTCTTCGTATAGCCCATTGACAGTGAATAAAAATGATGATAATAAGGCGGCATATATAAGTTTGGAAACCATATTTTTTATTTAAGAAAAACTTAAATTATATTATACATATTCCTCAAAAAAAAAAAAAAATTAATAATGTGGTTACACAAGTACACAACTCTGAAGTAAATTACTGAAATCAATTATGTATAAAACTATAATAGGTACTAGCATAGAACAATAAATAGGTAGCCGTAGATTATAAATTAAAATAATTATTTAACTATTTTATAATCTATGATAATTATTGATTATTTTTTAAGTATCTACTTATTGTAAGTAATCTTCCGAAAAAACCGGAATATTGACTATCAGTTTGTAGATAACTATTATCACCGAATAAAAATGTCATATTAATTATTTTATAACGTAAGATGCGCCGCCAAAAATATTTGATTTGAATTTTGAGTAGTTATAGTAGCCAGCATAGGAATTATATAGCCAGTAGGTACACAATTGAATTGCATTAAAATACTTAAATACATTTTAGTGGACACATAATAGTTGCGGACGAATTATTCAGGTTAGGAATTATAATATAACAATTGCGGACACGAGCTTCGTTGTCATAATACTAATTGCGTACAGAGCTTTTTTTAATAAAAACTACGTTAGTTGTGGACACAAATATTTCCCTTCACCACTTTTCAGAACTTATGACAATAGCTAAAAAAAAAATTGGTAGGTGGGGTTAAAAATATTTGTGTCTTGCAAAAGAGCAATCGTTATTTTTGAAATGTTGTTGAATTATAGATTGTTTTAATTTTGTGGAAAAATTGTTTATAAAATATTTATAGATTATCGTCATTATTAATTATCGTCATAGTTTTTAAAACAGCCTGTGTATATGAAATTCTACTGATTTCACCACGTGAATATTGTAACATTATCCGCAATTAGTATCTTATATTTGTGTCCGCAATTCGTATGTTACCTTTTTAGATTTCGTCCGCAACTCACTTACTCACATGGTTTTTGTCACTTTGTCCTCAATTCGGAAACACCGATTTTAGTTTATCATTCTGTTATAATAATCAATTTTTTGTATAATTAATTTATTAAGTCATATGTTGTACATTTTAAAATGTATTATACTTATTATCTTCTGTAGTTTTACTCTTCTTTTCTATTCACAGAGTTGTTTTTTCTCCAAAAACCAAATTAACTCCAGTTTCCTTCCATAACCGCTATTAAGTACGTCTTACCATAATTTATTGCTTGTAATAAAAACTATTAAGTATTAAAACTCTTTATTTAATTATTAAAGTATTTTTACTTTTAACGTTTCACTAACTTTTGGTTTTGAGTGAAGTTCATTAAAAAATAGGAATGAATTGGTTTTTTAATGTTTATCAGTAACTAATGTAGTTTATTTCATAAGCAAGTTGTAGTGCACGTTTCTTGATTATAATTTTAGTGCTCAAAAATTTAAAATAGCACTCGCTGTACCTAATCCAGTCCGAATATTATCATATTTCATTTGTTGTAATGAATATCCTAACAAAAACACTAGGTCAACTCCGTGTAAAAAATGCTAAGTGAAAAAAACTTAAAGATAAATGCTATAAAATCTGTGATATAACGTGGAATCTAAGTAAATGGTCTAATGTTTAAAATGTATATATAAGTAATTATAATCCAAATTTAATAAAAATTGGCTATTAATATTTATTTCGAAAATTGACTTTTATACAGGCACAGATGAATTTCTTTTTTACAGTTTTACAATATTAATAATAAGTGTATTTAGTATTTACTCTCAAACCGCTCAATAAACCGGTGTTTCCGAATTGAGTGCGAAAATGATTATCTAATTACGTGCGTAGACCATATTATTGGAAATACAAAAATACATTTTCATAGAATTTCTTAATCCTATTCATACCCCTCAAAAACAATGGGGGTCTTATATCAGGATCAGATAGTGCATTTAAAATAATAATCGAAGCAGACAAAATGAATTTACAAAAACTTAAAATACAAAATGTATAGTTTTAATTATACACCATAGCATAAAACTATAAAGTATTTTCTTTAATATGAACATATTTTCCTGTATTTAAACAGTCAAAATATCTGTTTAACTGACACACCATAAACAATGGTTCTTATATTATAATTTTAGTAAAAAAATGCATGAGTATAAGATTAAGGGGTATGAAGTGTTAAAAAACTTTATGAAAATGTATTTTTATATTTCTAAAAATAATATGGTTTATTGAACGGTTTGAGAGTAAGTACACACTAGTACACTACACCTATTATCAATATTGTATATAAAAGAAGTTTATCTGTGTCTGTTTAAAAGTCAATTTTCGATATTTAAATTACTAAGCTCAATAATTGAAATTCAAAAAGTAAAATATCACAAGTTTTAGAGCTAAATATTGGACATTGAAAATAATATATCGAAAATCGACTCCTATATAAGCCTAGATAAACTTAATCTCTTCAATTTGTATAATATTGTGTTCATACTGAAATGTATCACTCAGTAAGCTTATTTATTGGAAATACAAAACTAAGTTTTAGTGCTTCACTAAAATCACATTCAACATTTGTAATATTAGTGTGTAAAGTGCTGAGTGCTGACATTTGCATGCACGTGCGGATGAGGTCCCCTAATTGTTCTATGCTTACTACGCACACATTTACACGACCGGCATGCAAACCAATATAAAATTGCCTATATTAAACTCCTTAGAAACGGTCGGTATGGAGCATACGAAAAATTTGGAATCTATAATCGAGCATGTTTTTGGTATTGAAAACCCCGGTTACTACGTCCTCTTAAAGTCTTATGGAAAATATTTTCAATAAATTCGTTAGATAAAAAAGCCAAAGACAAAAGATGAATAAAATATAAACTAGCATAATTTGCAAAATCAATAATAATTTATCAACATTTATTATAAAAATATATTGTATAAGTATTATGTATTATTTGAACATTACTGCACATTTTTAACATATTTGGCGATATCTTCAATTTATAAAACTTTATCAAACTTTATAAAACTATACTTTACAAAACTTTATTAGTAGCTGGTATGTATACATCGATATCACTTTTATTTATATTTTTAACAGCGTATGTTGGCACATTTATATTAGTCTAAGTACTTACCTATATTTAACACAATAAAAGTGATTAATTTAAATTACTAATGTTACGGTTTTTGTATTTAATAAGTAAGCTTGCCTATTGAATAATATAATAATGAGCTTTTACTTTTAGATCAAGTATTTTAATAATTTAATCATTATCTATTTCATATGGAACATATTTTTCAATCGCGATGACCTATGAGTATAAAAGCTTCTAATTTACTTCCACTTAATGTACCTGATAAATCAACAAAATCAACACTCAAAATCTATGTACCTACATCTTTTATTTTCTAAAAACATGTTTTTCTGTGGTGCAATATTGTATTCATAATAATATAGGTACTAAACACCAGAAAATTAGAATGATTGTTCCCACAAAGTGCCCATTCAAATTATTTGTTACTTCATAAAGACATGCTGGTAACTTGTATGGTACTGCCACAATCGTCTACTCTAGGACTCGGGCGACTCAGTTATTGAATATGGGCGTGCATTGCAGACCATTTATATAGCACCAGAGGCTGACCCTTCAAGCTGAATGAGCTTAATTTCGTCCATTTTCTAATAGTGTCTATATTTAAAAATAGGATTGGTTTAGGATTGAATTAATCTCACCTTGGCCTATCCAATATCCATTATATGTATAATCTATGGAAACTTTTCAATAAAGATATCTTAAATCATGGTCGTTGATTGCCGAGTACCCCAGGTCCTGTCAACCGGAATCTTTAATCGTGGTAGCATCACAGATATCTGTATAGACATATTATAGTACATTTTATTAGTTAGTATAGATATCTGTAGGTTGTAGGTATCATTGAACAATTATTATAGTGGTAGTGAGCACGTTTTATTATACAGCCATACAGGTTACCTACTCAACGACCCTATGCACAACAAAAATGGTGCGAGAAAATGTTGGTTTCAAACAGCTGATAACGATATGAGAAAAAGTGAAAAACTACTATGTAAATTGTAAAGCTAAAGCTTCTATTATAGGCTATAGAGCTGCTCCAAACACGGACTTAGACCGTGGCTCCAAGACGTAATATTGTATACCTCTATAGTCTATATATATATGACAAGATCGTTAACTTTTCGTACATCAAAAAATAAGTTTCGTTTCGTTTAGTAACCTGTATATTTAAATCTTGATTGTGAGTAAATTCCAAAGATAATGTTCATAATTATCTGTTATCTGACAGCTGTTTGTTAAACATTGATAAGCAATGGGCTGAATATTACATATAACAATATTTGATTACTTAATAACTTAATGCCTTTGTACCTATAGGTGGTTATTAAAAAATACGATTTTAGTACTATTTACTCTATTCCTAAACTGCTCTTTAGTGTGAAAAATTGGTTTTATTCTACAGATTCTGTTCTACATTTAACTTAGTTGTAAATATTAACTGACAAAAAGTTCAATAAAATCAATACAAAATGATGACCCTAATAAATCGGATACTTGATTGGATTAAGAGTAAATTTTGGACTGAAGAAATGGAACTCACTCTCGTTGGACTACAATGTTCTGGCAAAACTACATTTGTTCATGTAATTGCAGTAAGTAACCTATAATTTCCTCAAACTATAACATTTTTTTCAATAACATTTTTATTACTTACCCACTGTATGTGGGTAATATTATGTTGTGTCTACAGCTGTTTGAATACATTTTCAATTTAAAATACTAATGATTTGCTTTGTCAATGAATTTAAAATAGTGATTGAGCAAGTTTCATGAGTGTATACTAGTTATATTTTCTTTTATATATACAATATACCATATAAGTACATAGTATGTGTTTTATAGACCATTAGAGTGATTCATTATAATAAGGGAGGGGTCTATAAATACTGTTTAATGTTTTTTTTTTGTTATTTATAACTATTAAGTCTATTGAGTAATCTGACTTATCTTCTACCTAAATTATTATTAAGCAAAATATTAAGTAATGAATAAAAAGTATAATAAGATTTAAGATTTGTGATTTTTATAAATTTATTTGATGAAACATTAAAGTAGGTATATTTCTGTTTTATTCTCTTGTAAAACATGAATGATACATTTTACTTCATATGCTTCTTTGTTATTAATCAATATGAAAATTGGGATGTTGAGAATTTTTAAAAATAATTAGGAATATAAATTAGGTACCTATTTAATAACAACAATTTTTAAGTTGAATATTATAATAGTAATTGTTGTAATTTTTTAATTTTTTAATTTATAATTTGATTAACAGTTAGTTAACATTGTATTACATTTTCATATATTATAGTTTTTTATTTTATTTTTACAAGATATTTACAATCTATTCAGAGAACAATAAGCAAATTAGATAAGAGTAATATGAGTGGTCAGAGTTAAGATTCAGGAGGTGTTAACAGCAGAAGAGTGTAGACAAGAGTGAATGTCAGGATTTTTCCGTGGGGATGGCCAATAGGTAGGGTCCGGAGGGGCAAGTACATTAAGGTTTTTTTGCACTTGCGTAAGAATGAAGAACGCAGCTACGTGGATTATTTGAGCGACAACCCCAACTTTGATGTTGGGCATTATAGTCGCCTCCCACAATGAAATTATTGCCAAAGGAACTAAAGTAATTATGGAAGTCTATATTTAAAACCTTGTGTTTTGGAGGTGAGTATAGGGCTGATATTGTTACAGGAATACTATTTAAGTATATCAGTACAGCCCTCGATCGTAAGTAGTCGTAACGGTAATTTGGAAGAGTTTGCAATATTATAGTAGATTTTATGAGAATGGTGAGACCACCGTGAGCAGTATTTTCAGGATGATCAGCCCTCACCAGCTTATAACCAGGAATGTAGATATATGAATTATGTGTAAAACGTGTTTCCGTAATGAGCGCAATGTCATACGTTTATTTTGAAGCACAAATTTGAGCTCATTTACATGATTTTTTATACCATTAGCGTTAAAAAAAAGGATAGTGAAGGATTGGTTTGTGAAAGTGTTGTTAGTCATTTTTTTATCGAGAAGATAGGTTATTACTTTGGTAAGAAGGGCTATTAGAGGGTTAATTAAAGCTTTGAATTCTTGCAGGAAGCTGGACATTGAGGTGTTAGTGTCAGAAGCTGCAGGGGGGGAGGCCCGGAGGGGTGGTTATCATTTTGACCTGATGTGGCCTACGCATAAGTAGATTCATGGGTATGTGTATGATTTGATGGATGGCTATCTTGAACAATGCGTGACTTATCTCTAACATTATTAAATTGAAAGTTACTTGTGGGTTTTTTGCGATGTTGGAGGTCCTTGTACACTGAACGGCCTCTGTAGCTGGCCGGATGAGTGTCTCGGCAGAGCGGGCACTTCGGCAGAGTACCAGGTGGATTTGGACAGTCAGAAGAGGGATGAGAGGTGCCGCAACGACGCATAGCTACAGTACAATCTTGTGTGACCATATTCCTGACAATTCACATATTGACTTATTGTTTTTGTCTTAAAAGGTTCCTCTACTTTAATTTTAGTATGTAGCAGAGACGACAGCTTGATTATGTCATTTGAATAGGGGACTGGTTCCAGATCAATGAAAAAGAGCGGTAGAGGGTATTTATTTGTTTTGTGAAGAACATTGGTCACAGATCTTACTGCAAACTGAAGGAATTCTAGCTCAGATTTTACGAGACTGATTGGAATTATTGGATGTAGATTCCGAATTACCACATAAATTGGCTTGTTTTGTTGTAACTGATAGGTATGGTATTCTGCCTTATTCTCTTTAAGAAAGTGGATAAGTGATCTGTAGGCGTCAGGAGTGCTGGTTTGGATTTTTAAACGGTTAGTAGAAGACTTGCAGACAAAATTATTTTGTCGATATTTTATACTAGGCATTTGCATAGTTCAGGAAAGTCCTCAACTCAACGCACAAAAATTGGAGGAGGAAGTTTTTAATTGTAAGAGAATCCATTGGGTCGTCTTCGTGATTAGAGTTAGTGTCCAGATTAGCGTCCGGAACAACAATAGAATTATTGTCTAGGTTTGAGGTTTGGGAAAGAACTTATAATTGATTTGATGATAAAAATAATTTTTTATATACTTTATTACCCGATGCTTGAGGTGAGGTAGGGTTAGAGGAGTCACTTAAAGATAACAATTATATAATATACAATAATATGCAAAATTACAAATAAAGTTCCTAATTCTCATTTATTTTGTATTATTGTTTATGACACATTTACTCAATAATCTTTAGACATTACATAATAGTTTTACAAAAAAAAATGTTATTTTTAATAAAAATAATAACATTTAATTATGTGGTAATAAATAAATTAAATAACATTTTTAGTCTGGACAATTTAATCAAGATATGATACCAACAGTTGGTTTCAATATGCGAAAAGTGACAAAAAATAATGTCACTATTAAAATATGGGATATTGGTGGTCAGCCACGTTTCCGATCTATGTGGGAGAGGTATTGCCGAGGAGTTAATGCTATTGTGTATGTATACATAAAATTAAAACATAATCATAAATTACATACTTAATTTATTAAATGTTCACAGTTATATGGTGGATGCAGCCGACACTGATAAATTAGAAGCTTCAAGAAATGAACTTCATAATTTAATAGATAAACCACAATTAGCTGGTATACCTGTCTTAGTTTTGGGTAACAAGAGAGATTTGCCAAATGCTCTAGATGAAGTTGAACTGATTGACAGGATGTTAGTAAATCATTTATTTGAAGTTTTATTGTTTTATTAGTATTGTTAAAAAATTTTAATTATATTTTTTTATTTAGGAATTTAAATGCCATTCAAGATCGAGAAATTTGTTGCTATTCGATATCTTGCAAAGAACAAGAAAACATTGATATTACTTTGCAATGGTTGATTAGCCATTCAAAATCTAATCGTCAGTCATCAACGTAAAATTACCATTGGAAAATTTCATATCTAGCACTGAATTTGTGCTAAAAATATTGAATCTTTTCTAGATTTAATTTTTTGTTTAAGGCTGATCCACCTTTTTTAATTTTCTTTTACCCAATATAGATAAATTAATGCCGTTTTTTATCAATGCACTCAAGGTTATAATACAGCAATTAAATATAGAAGTTATAATATTACTATAGAAAATCATATTTTTGGATCAAACCTCAGTTTATATGTCATACTATTTATATTAATTTATATGGTTTTTATTACTTTTTTCAGCATTTATAACATATTGTATGGTTTTGTTGTAAAACAAATTAAAATTTTTTTATGTAAGTTATAATTTTATCATTCAAAATTTATACATTTATATTATTATTTTATTATTATTTAAATTATTATATTTATATATATTATGTATTATTCTATTAATCAGAAGTATATTGCTTCCCAGAATATTAATACTTTATTCAACTATTTTTTACCTGAAGCTGACTATTGTTACATGGGTTTATTTTTTTCTGTAAATATTTAGTTATTTAGGCATTAAGTCTATTATTGTAACATAGTATTAAAATTATTTCTGTAATGCCTAATTTAAATATCTTATTCTCAATTTTTTCTTTCCAACCTATAGTATTCAAAAATTATATTGAACTTGAATTATAACATTGAATTATTATATTGTGTCTATAATATTTATTTTACCTATAATTTATAAACCGTGGGAACAGTCTGTAGTTCTAATTGTACGTTAAATGTAATTAGTTACAGTTATTTTTAATTTTTGTTTTATTTATTAATTCTTTTTAAACAGTAGTTATTAAAAACAAAGAACTGATTTTAACAAGAAATGAATATTTAAATATCATTATGTGGCATTTTTTTTCATTGACTTATTTGAATAATATTTTTTTTTATTCATTGGATTTTATTTTTAATGGCATAATTATTGTTATGGTGATTTTACTGGAATGTAGTAGGTAAAAAATTGTTTTAAGATCGTTTTGACCTTTTTGTCTAAAACTCTAAACCCATTTGTTATCTATTTTAAAAACAGTAATTTATTACCATAGGCGCCATGTACACTGGGTCTCTAGCACCCGTTGAAATTGTTAAGGGATGCCAGGCACCCATGGGAAATATCAAAGATTAAATTAATAAATTATTATTACGTATTTATTATTTTAAAGTATAATTATTTTTGAAATAAATATGTGGAAATCGATTTAGAAACGATTATAATTACATTATATTATATCAATTAAAAATTGGGTCAAGGTAGCGAACGACAACGTGGTTTTCATTGGTAAAAAATAAATACAAAATTATTTTGTAGGATTTTCCAAAATTTGCATTTGATGATCATGCAAATCTTTTTGAGATTTGCAATGGATACCGACAATTTTTTTCTGTTTATAAATGATTGTCATTGATTACATTTTATTAATTATAATATTAATAACATGAAATAATTAGTAGAAATTAGTATATAAAAATGGTTACTGTTGGAAATTGGTTATGCTGACAGTGGAGGTTAAAGATCAAAGTATGCACCAAATCGCCGCGTATATAGCCTCGAATAAAGAAATTACACTTAAAAAAAAAAATATGGAGGTTGAATATTATGTATGATTGTAGTTTATATATAAAAAACTATACGGCCGATTTTGTGTGAACAATTCAAATATTTCATAGAGATATTATCAGGAAAGTTTAGATTGTTTAAATCTCTCGTTCGATTTATATTAAGTGCTATACAGATTACAGCCTATCAGACTATATATTATATCCAATCAATCTCAGTCGAATTAATTCATAAAACGAGGTACACCAACGCCGATTTACCCGTCATCTGTGGTACACTCAAACTATTCCTCGGAAGGAACGTGTAAAAAGTTCATTCCAATAATTTTGTTCAATTTTCAAAAACTTAACGGGAACGATTCTTGTGACATCAATAAATCGTCCGAATAACCTGTGTAAAGGGTTTATAATAATAATAATAAATTAAGATTAAGTGAAGAGTTATCAAAAATAAAATTTTCAGAATTATTTGAAGTGCGCTATTATTATAAACATTTGAAAAGTGTTCCCTCAATAGGTTAACAATATCAGAACCAGTATTGTATTAGCCTCCTTCTCATTATGACACAGAAGAGGGTAATTGATTTATAGATTTCTGCAGTCTTCTTAATAAATAATAATGAATTTATAGTCGCGCGTATCTTAAATAATTTCATTTTTTACGAATATCAGAAAAATATGTTTATGAAACGGAGGTTTTTAAAATCTTAAATGTGTGTGTATTTCATTGGATATTCCAATTATAAGGTCTGTGTCTAATTGTGAGACTTGACAATGACATAGGCTTTTTATTATATTTTAAGATGTACAACCAGTTTACGATTTTAAAATACACATAACTCGTTTTATTAAAATTAAAATATAATAAAAATACATTGTCATTGTATAGATAATAGACTCACCTTTAAATTTCATAAGAGGTCAATTCGCTCCAATTTTTAAACTAACGGAGTCCGGGGATAAATGTGTTCTGCTGAGAGTAAAAGTTGCTATGTTCGGCTCTTGTAAGACAGAGACAACAAATGTCACTGGAACACGTCCCCTTAAGAAATGTTATTATTTTTACAGCATTAAAATCGAAGTATCGAACCATCTAAAGTCTCATAATCTTGTCGGAGCGGAGGGTCTAAAAGCGATTTTTTTTTACCGACTGGAACCACTTTAAAATGCGTACCCTATATAGTTATAATAGTATTTAAAGTTAAGTTGAGCTCAGTGGATCATGACGTAAGTCTTCTACTAAGGTGTTCTAAATGGAAGAAGTACTTAAAAAATCGTCAACAATAATAATATATTATACCAGGAGGATTATTTTGTACCAGCCCGGGGAACATAATATGGCACCGACACACTGTGCAATTGAAGGCCCTGTGCAATAACCAGGTATGTCCACATTTTTTCAAAAATCATATTTTAATACAGAAATATTCAGAAAAAAATCTATCAATCGGTGCAAAAATCCAACACGTCCAATAAATAGTGTTGATTGTTTTGAAATAAAATAATAAAAACTGATTTTTAAATTTCTGTTGTGTGCAATAGCCAGGTATGTCCGGACGTAGGTATGTCGTTAAAACATAAGGTATATATCCATTTTTTTTTAAATTTATCGCCAACACCAAATACTTTCGGACATACCTAACTGGTTATTGCTCCAATAACACTTCTATTAAAATTATTAATATTGGCATGAACATAATATTTAAATCATATAGGCGGCATATAGGGAATGGGTTTAATCGATGTATCTTATTCTTACAAAAAGAATAACACCACGTTTTGAATTTTTAGATGGATAGTTTTTTATGTTTCCTGAACAATTTTGAAAAATTGACGTACCTGGGTTTTGCACCGAGGCCTTCAATTGCACAGTAGCACAGTGGTCCATTGGCCCAGTCCGCCCCTGCACATCAAACACTTCGTTTAGAAGGCCTTTACGAGTTACGACGTATTATTTGATTTTTGATTTTTACCGAAAGTAATTTTTATTGTGTATATCGTATAATATGATTTAGTGGCATAATATAATCGGTGTAGATTCAAAAATGAACCCAAATACCTAATAATAGTTTCGAAATTGTTTAACCGTTGAACGCCGTGCGCTGTGCACAATCCGTTCCTATAGTAATTTTATTACAGCCCCCCCCAAGAATTTACCTCTATATACAGATTGCTCCTATATATCAATGGAAATTGTGTAGGTACTTTATATTTTACTATTTATAGTTATTACTCAATAGTTATTACTAAATTTACCCCAGATTACTCCAATGTCACTAGCAATTGTTTATTATATATTTTATTGTAGTTATTACAATATTTATAAATATTATATTACCTATTTCAATTTTCAAGTACCTAAGTAGTGGGAGATAAATGATAATACCTACAATGCAAACATTTGAAATATTAAGGTGTGTTAAAATAAATCGACCGATAGCATTATTTTAATTTTCATAGGTGGAATTTAAATTAATTATGTACATGACAAATTTGTCATGAATGAACTTACTATTGTCTCAATCTCTCAAACGAACTAAATTGTATACCTCATACCTCTAATAAAAGATCTAGTTGATCATTCAACCGTTTAATTTTGCGCCAATTTAATTTTTTCTTCTACGTTCTCTTGCCACATGGTCAATAATGGCTTATCATTCCGTGTCCAGTCAGCTATTATCTTATCTCCAATAGTTGCATACTCAATTTGTAAAATGTGAACACGAACGCGAAATGTAGGAATTTCAATTTAGTATTAATTTTAACTATAATGTAATTTTTAATTTTTATCATAAAAATCGGGATAATTTATTTTAAATTTAATTTCTAGTAATGTTTCAAAAATAATGCACCTATATTATATATCTAGTTTGAAAACAGATAGTTTATTTATCTTTTCAATCATTTACAATTATTTATGTGGAAACGTATAAATTTATAGTTTCAAACAGTTTAAATTATGAGTGTTACGAGATATTCTTAGACTAAAAGGACCGGCTGTAATTATGGTCTTAGCATCCAAAGAAGTCGTCACCGTGTCTTTGTTGTGCTGTGTATGGTACGTAGTAAGCTCCGGTAGCAATGTAGTTGGCAAGACGCTTTTAAACCAATTCCCATATCCAATGACTGTGACCATGGTGCAGCTCCTGTCCATAGCTGTTTATTCGGGTCCGTTTTTCAACTTATGGGGCGTGAGACGATTCGTTGACATGAGTTGGCCCTATTATTTTAAGCTTATAGTGCCACTTGCTCTTGGGAAGTTTGTTGGATCGGTTTTTACGCATGTCAGTCTATGGAAGGTACCAGTTTCCTATACACACACAAGTAATTAAATACACTTAATCACTTAATGTAAACATGGTTTCAGTTTCTAATAATTTTTGTTTTTGTTATTTCAGTAAAAGCTACCATGCCACTGTTTAGTGTTATATTGTCAAGAATAATACTAGGAGAAAAACAATGTTTAAAAGTGAGTTATTGAAAACAAAATTATATGAGATGTGTAATCGAGTCCTTACAAATTGTATTTTTAGGTATATTTGTCCTTAGTACCCATAATTGCTGGAGTTGCCATTGCATCTTTCACAGAGATATCTTTTGATGTAATAGGGTTGATGAGTGCTTTGGCAGCTACATTGCAACACACATTGCAAAATATATTTTCTAAAAAAGTACTTCATGACACCGGTATTCACCATTTACGCCTGTTACATATACTAGGTCGTCTAGCCTTAATGATGTTCCTACCCGTGTGCTTATTTTGATTTTTGGCAATCTCGTGACAGTTTCAAATTTTAAAGTATGAATATTAATCAACAATAAGTAACATCTGTATTATAATATACATTTTCTTAAAAATAATTTCAGATGAATAATGAATCGTACAAGTATAGGTTTGCTGTTTACTGATGGTATACTTAGTTGGTTACAAAATATATTGGCATTTAGTGTTATGTCAATGGTTACATCTTTAACATATGCCGTAGCCAGTTCATCAAAACGAATATTTGTGGTGGCTGCATCTTTATTTGTGATTGGAAATCCAGTTACTATCAATAATGTTTGTGGTATGGCATTGGCTCTGTTTGGTGTTATTGCGTACAATAAGGTATGTATTTTGAGATGACTATTTGCAACAAAAAAAAAATTTACTTTTATTGATCATTTTAGGCTAAATATGATGCCAGACGGACAGATCAGAAACGTGTAATATTGCCAATGACATACCAACACACAAACAATTCTACATTTTGGCAAAATGGTACCGGAAATGCCAGTTATGTTAACGGTAATAAATCATTATTTGTCTAATTTTATAATGTGACAGCTTCCATATAATTATAAAAACTTTACAATTTAACGAAAATGTTGTTAAATATATTATATACTTATATATTTTTATTTTGTTAACGTTTTTGATTTTAATATGATATACTTATTGTATTATTTTATTTTTTATGATTGTATTGATTTTTGAGTATTTTTATTAAAATAGTTGTGTTAAAAATATTAGTTCTTTAAAAGTGTTAAATGGATAATATTGTAACATACGTTTTGTACATAGTTATTATTTTATGTTATAAACAGTGATTAAAATTTTATTCTATTATTTTTTATATTATAAAAGTTTGGTCATCAGGTCATATTATCTTATTCTTTTTATAAGTTCATTTATAATTAAATTATTTTAGTTATTTGTTTTACTATTAACAGTCAACAAAAACTAAATACATTCATGTAAAAATACATTCCATGTATACTATGATTTTTTTAAAAGTGTTACATATAGACCTTAATTATATTTTGTAAAGACTGTTAATTTTTTTTGTGTTGCGTAATGTCATAATATTAGTTATTCTTTTTGATTTATCGTTATTTATGTTGAATTATTGAAATATTTTTGAAATCATGGACAATACATTAATAGTTAATTTTATACATTGATAAATGGTCTTTTTAATCTTTCTGTACAGCTTTTTTTATTATCTATGAAAGATGTAACTAAGGATCATTAGCTTACTGACAAGGAATTACGTATGTTGTTATCTCCAATTGAGATTATGTTATATTTTATTTTAAAAGTAGTATAATAAGAATATTTTTGTTAAAATAAAAATATAAAATAGTTATTTTTATAAACTTAAATTGTACTTAATAAATAGCTTGATTTTTTAAGTTATAGTTAAAACTATCTAGTGGTAGCTTAAAATGTTGTAAGTATTGCAATGTTTGATGAATGTAAAAAAAAATTATAATTAAATCATAGGCGTGTTTATACTTGGACATGGCCAGACCTGCGAAATTCGCTGCCCTAAATTATACCCATATTATATTATGAGCTGAACTCCATTATATTATTAATATTGTTAAATTCTTATCACAGACAATATTTGCAATATCTCGGCTATCTGATAAAATTAATTAATAAGAATCACATTTTTATTTATCTTTGCTAAGAAGTAAGAATGAAATATGATAAGTGATAACTATTTGATGAATCTGAGTATTTAATAAGGCATAAGCCAACCTATAGCAGTATGTATGGAAAATTGTAATTGTACTAAAATGTAATATCAACAAAATAAAGGATCAACAATTTATATTTTAGATTCTGAGCGGAGCGATGAATGTATTGATTTTACAATATGTTTTTTTAATTTTTTTTGTTTGTACACGAAAAGTAGTCGAAATAATCCTTCGACTATTTTTAAAAAGGCTGAAAAAACAAAAAAAATTAAGTAAAACCTAGAATTTTTACTCAAATTCGGTTTTCGACAAAATCAATTTTTGGTTTTTGAATTTTGATGTACCTCTGAAACAAATTACCGTAAATACATACAATTTTTACCGGTTGTTTATATTAACATTTTCTATACACAATAACATTTTAAATATATTTCGATTTTTTTTTGAGCTGTTTACAGACATGTTTAATTTTCAATTTTTTATTTGTTGAACTGTCAATAAAATGTTATTTGTTGGGAAGGGTCCAGATGTATTGTTACAAGAGTAGTTGAAAAATAGTAAAATAATAAAATACCTACATAGACAAATTTTTGATATTCTTATAAGCATTTAAAGTCGATTTTGACAACATTTAACAAACAACATTTTAATTTAAAAATGATTTTGAAGTTATTATATTTATAAAATTTTCAACTTTTATAGCTAAATTCTGAAAGAGGAGATCAAAAAAAGAAAACGACATAGCTAAAATGGAGGGGATATTTGAAAATCCCCCATCTTCTCAAAATTTTAACTGAGGTAATAAAAGGCCAATGGGGGGTTATGACCCCCATGACCCCGCTCCCCTTGTCTACACCACTGTGGCACGTCTGTATTGATACCGAGGTAAACAAGTACTTCCACAGTTTCACAGACTGTAACGTATTAAGTCATACATGTTTTTTATTCGCTACAAATTAAAATAATTACAACTGTACATTTATACACTATCTGTGATCCGTTAATAGATATTTGGTGAATCAACAATTCCGACCTCGGCGATATATGGGCCGATAATAACTAAGACCAGTGTTGTTAATAGTGATGTTATATGTATGTAATATTCACGACTTATTTAATACGACATAACAATTTTGAAAGGATTAAGATATTCCAAAGAAATGATACGAGACGTATGTAAAAAAAAATATAAATATACAAATAGCATACTCATACATTACAGTTACAATAAATTATTATAGTTACGTTTATTATAAACGACTATCGACATAATAATAATATATAATATTATCGCACTTGTTATGACTATTGACTACAGAGATTGCAGTACGAGTTGTTTAAGTTGTAAATTAAGTATGAACACTGTATACCTACCTAATCGGCTAAATTATTATCTACAAATAAAATTAATTTTTAATATGTCTCTTATACCTATTAGTTATTACTTCATAAATACACATTCTCGTAAATTATGTAATAGCAGGAACTTAATTCCACGTTGTACAATGAACTATGAACGAAATCGAAATCATTAATAGCTCTATAATAATTAATAAGTACGATAAAAAACCCGCCCAAAATTAATTAGGTACACTTTTCAGTTTTCGCTATCGAAGTCCACGCACGACGTACTGCATCGATGGCTGTAAAATTATTTTGTCTTAACGGTGCAAAGGCGATTTTGTAAATCGTGGTCCGGACTCATTATAGCGCTACCACTTTAGATGCGTGGGGTCCTTCACTTAGGTACCTACCTATCTATAATATTTTCTGTACACTTGAATATTTTCAAAATATTTAGTCTATACATACTATTAACTACCTATGTAATATTATTATACCTCTAACCTGCATTTTATTGACAGACTTTGTTCAACCGATCGAATTAAGTAATTACTAATAACTAATAAGTAATAATATACATAAATAATAAATGCATACTTTTGGTTTTGCGACTATACAACCGGCGGGTCACTCGATCGCTTGGATAATTTAAATCGAAAACAACCCTCAATTTTCTATGTAAAATTACCTGTCATCTTTGGTACATATAATATAAGGTTAACCACCCAATTAGAATTGACAAATGACAATACAAGATAAGGTTGGGTGGAATGAGTTGTTGACGATGACTTAATTAGGTACTTTTGGTGTCCACCTACAAGAGTTTGAATAGTTGTTGTAATGACGCCATGAGCATAGGGCGTAGCATTGAGCATAGGTAACCGAATAACCGATACAATGTTGTTGGCCTCGAATAAAGACTGTAGTTATCCATTTATTTAGTAAAAAAAATGTACTAAAAGCGATGAACTAATGCTATAAGTGCCTATATATAAAAGTGTCACCGAGGTGGACGACACTTAAACAGATGTACATACAATAAAAACACAATAATGGATGTGTAAGCTCGTATATCATGGTAGGTATATACCTACTATATAGTATATACAATATATCTAATAATTAACAACATACAGTACCCAACAACAGACACTTACATAGCCCATGACCAGATGGCCTGTAAAAAGCCATAACGACGTTGTGATGTACCTACCTAGGTGGCTAGGTCCAGAGCCATGGTTATAATAGATGATATAGGTCAGTGGCGTATCCAGTATTTTTTTTTTTGGGGGGGGGGGTTGGGAGGTTTAAAATTATCTTTGACAATATTTATCTGAAAATGATTTATTACCTAACGAAAATGTTGTCATCACTTAACATTTTTCGTCGGGGGAGGGGTCTACAACCGAAAAGAAATAGAGTTTATAACATTATCGGACGTGAGTTGAAATAAAACAATTACCTACCTATATGCTTAGAATTTAGATAGTAAGATGGCTATACTGGAAAATATCTTTTGTTTAAACCACGGACTAAGATCTTAGTCCTTGGTTTAAACAAATAAACGTTTTTGTTATGTTATTTAATTGGTTGTTATTTGATATATTATAAACTAATAACCATTATTATTACAAACGCTATAGTGTAAAATGAATGTATTTATGTATGTGGCTTATGAAAATCGTGACTAATGACTATAATATATAGTATATTGTACAGGTATACATTCGGGTTTTTTGAAGGTAAAAATCTTACGAGGAACTTTTTATTAAATTTTCAAGCTTTTTGACCAATAAACAAAAAATATTATCAACATAATAGGTAAATCAAAAAAAGAATTAAAAACACTGCGATATCATCAAAAATTCAAAAGTAGTAAGTACGATGTGTAATCATGTAGCTCGCTATATATTTGGTTTCATACGTCGCTCGTCGTAGATAATTGCCCAGAATTTAAAAATTCAAATTGCTTAAAAATGTAATATTAGTTGTGACTTTAACAAACTAGAACAAATTACCATCGACCAATAAGTTAGATAATAATATAATAATGTAAATTTTGTTCGTACCCTCTTGCAGTGACGTAGCCAGGAGGGGGTGTTTAAACACCCCCCCCATTGACATTTCCCCCGCTAATAAATATATTGTTTATAGGGTTTATTAATGTTTTATTGTAGACTGTAGTGGTCGTAGATTATTTTAGAGAAGTTATAAATTTGTATTATGAAATTTTTTTATATGTCTTATCAAACAACGTTTGAATTTGCATATTTTTGCATATTTTAGGAAAAATGTACATTTGAGCGATTTTTCGCATGTGCAATTTTGCATTGTTTTAACTTAAATGCACATACAATTATCGGGAAAAATCATATTTGGATAACATTGAAAAATATCTCTAATAATATTATGTTTGGTTAGAAACAATAGGCGCTAATTTTGAGATTTGGGGAGGCCGAAGCCTAAAACCATACTATTATAAAATTGAATAAGCTTAAAAAATTTTAGTAAATATTTTGGAGGCTGTTCAAGTTGTTGGTGGAGCTTGGCTACGGTTGGCCCCATTTTTGCATAAGGTACGTAAGATAAGTCTATAATACAAGTCTCTTTTTGACAAGGCTGTGTTAAAACTATAATTGACATCTAGATTTTAGATTGTACATAAAATTAAAACCAGTAGATAGTAGATACATGTTCGTTTATCACGGTGATCACGTTATTGGTTATTAGTTATTAATAACCTAGTGGCTAGTATAGGTACCAAAATTGTAATATGTTTTATGAATTTTTCTAAAATAATATAAAAATGTAGATGCATATATTTAAGCATATTTTGAAAGTTTTGACTGCATATTTCGATAATTTTTAGCACAAAAAGTCCCAAATCTTAAATTTATTTATATTCGAAAACTGTAAAAACTTGGTTTTAATCTATACTTAAACACCGAAACACTGTTTCTTCACTACCTACAAATTATTATAAAGTTAAAAAATAAACGTACAATACACATTATATATTAAATTTTTTTCAAAATTCCACCATTCCATTACCTATATCGATGATATTATAGCATCAAATCGCAAAAATTAGAAAGAGCCATTCTACCTTTTCGGGTGTTTTATAAAAGAGGAAAAAATAAAAAAATTATAACAAATGTGTAATGCACACAATGATCTTGTTGAAACTTAAGATGACCTATATAATATATTATTTCATTGTGTAGTTATTAAAGTAGTTTAACGTGTTTCGGTGGAATATTATAATATACCGACTCTATGTGTGGAGTATGCGAATAACACCTGGCGCGTCTTCTAAGTACCACTCACGATTTTTAACAGTACCTATTAATGTTTATCTACCGCTGAAGCTCAAACTTACGGCTCGGGGTTTGCCGCAGAGACGTCTACATGGTTGCACGTTTATTTCAGTGTGTATTCGGCTATTTCCATATCACGATGCAGAACAAATAACATTATCCGCAGGCATATAACACCGAGCTGTTTGCGAATAGGTAAATACTATAATATAATTCGTAACTAGTCGAAACGGAGAGGCTTGGACTTATAATATATCGCTCATATTAAATTATGCGCACCCGTACATGGCTCGATTTTGGGGTGGTTAAACGGAAGGTGAAGTAAATCATTTGTCAACCACTCTAGAATAGATAATTTTTAATTTTTTTACTATCATGAAAATCGATGACATCCATGACAATACAATATCCACCTGCGTGACCATATAGGATTATTACATATATTTATGCAAAGCGAATGAGGTAGATATAATAGATAGGTATTAATACATAGTACATACAGTACCGGATTAACGTATAGGCAGGGTAGGCACGTGCCTAGGGCTAGATAAAAGTTGCCATCAGAGGGGGCTATTTGGGGGGGGGGGGTACCAGTAGAAAGGTTTTTATTATTCACTGCTAATGTTGGACACAAGTCTAAAGATATGGCTGAAACTGTTTTAAATTTACTATCAGAATATGAAATACCAATTGAATATTGCCAAGGTCAAAGCTATGATAATGCGGCTAATATGTCTGGACAGTATACAGGTCTTCAGCCTCGAATCAAGAATATAAATCCAAAAGCAAAGTATATTCCATGTTCTGGGCATTCACTCAATCTAATTGGGGCGTATGCAGCTGAAAGCTGTCTTTATGCAACACATTTTTTTGATTTGCTTCAAAAATTATTTAATTTTTTTTCATGTTCAACAAACCGTTGGTCGATTTTGGAAGAAAATATTGGTAAGGGTAAAGTTGTTAAAAATCTGAGTGATACACGTTGGAGTGCACGAGCAAATGCTTGCAATGCTTTATATGCTTCTTATGCTGGTATAAAAAATGCATTGCTGTATATAATTCAAAATGCTGATGAAAAACCTATTTGCAAAGTTGAAGCTAAAGCTATGTACAATTTATTGAATACCTACTTTAGAAGTTTGTATAATGATTTGCTTATGGAATTCAATTTTAAATAGGTTAGCTTATATTTACATTTTCATTATTATATATTTAATTGTATATTATTCTATTTTTCAACTTTTTGGAACTATTGGTAACATTAACCATAATACTATGACTTATCAGTAATATAATTAATATATAATATAATTTTGTTTTTTTGTTTTTTGTTTTTTTTACAATGGGTTATAGAAAAAAATGTTTGCCTAGGGCTATGATCGGTCTTAATCCGGCACTGAGTACATACTTTATAATAATAAGTATAACATGAGTAACATAATAATATTAATAATATTAATTTAATTAATACAGAACACAACACAGGTGGCGAAGAGCTGACGATGGTACATTGCATGAAATAAGTGAGGCAAACTTACACTAACTTGGTACAAACGAGAATGGAGGACACGATAAACGATAAACGGTTTCAGAATAGTACCAGCGAACCAGGAGTGAGATAACGGTGGGAGAGGAGGGGATGTTTAAAAACCTTTTAAACTCTATAATATACATATTACTGGTCTATCTTGTCAATAGAACCACAACAACAAAGGAACCGCCTGACAAATTTCTTTGTCTGGCGCCAAAATGAACGACGAGAACGTGTGTGTCTCGGACTCTCCGGTTTCCGTACATCGCTGGTGACCTGCTGAAACTTTAGATTTGGCATTGATCGCTACCAAATATCTGCAGCTGTCTCGCCAGCTAATTTTGGATGTATGCGGATGTTTGGTTCAGATACACAGAGCCTGCCGTCCAGAAAACTTTTGGAATCAACATTTTTCGACGATTCCGGTTTCCGTACATCGCTGGTGACCTGCTGAAACTTTAGATTTGGCGTTGATCGCCACCCAATATCTGCAGCTGTCTCGCCAGCTAATTTTGGATGTATGCGGATGTTTGGCTCAGATACATAGAGCCTGCCGTCCAGAAAACCTTTGGAATATAAATTTTTCGACGATTCCGGTCTTCGTATATCATTGGTACGGTTAAACTTGAGATTTGGCGTTGATCGCCATCCAATATCTGTCGATTTGGCTGAGGAATTTTCACACATCGCAGCCATGTTAGGCATAGATACACATCTATATGACATATTTATTTGAAAATATTATATAGGCACAATTAACGGAGAAGATTATACAAAAATAAGTATAGGAATGAAATTTATCCGTAATGAACACAAGAAATGAATATTGACAAGTGGTAACTATGTGACACAGATATGAATTGTAGATTTTTGAAACATTCACGTACGTGGCAACGATATTTTAGTTGTTTGTGTTGTTTTCTTAGAGCCAATATTAATAATGTTAATGAAGTTGAGAATTTCATAATGCTTTACCAAGAATTTTCGAAAACTAATTGGATTCGTGTTGGTCAGCTTGACAATCCATCAAGGTAAGTAAAAATAGTTCTCATTATTTGATTAATATTAATGTATAAGACATTTTTTTTTTCAGAGTCATGTTTCATAAATATTGCGTATGCCAGCACAGTAAGGTGACTTCATTAACATTATTAATATTGGCTCTAAGAATCGAGGTCTTTTCATTTATATTAGAAACTTCATTTGATAGAACCGCAATGATATTATTATTTTTTAAGAACTTAATGAATTCATCCATTATGAATACAATATAATTGATTATTTAGAAATGCAGAAACAGAGAACTACCACCAACAAGTTAAATACCCAAACAACCAGAGCTTAAAAATACCTAACTAGTGAAAATGCTAAGATGCTTTAAACACTAACAACTTAAAATTAAAAGTACAACTATAACGGAGATGTACAATTAAAGTTTAAACATGACAGCAAGTCAAAAATCAATTTAATATTCCTGTTGACAAATTAATAATAGCTGGTAGGTAGTCTGGTAGTCAATAAATAAACCATGTGACTCAGGGGCGTACTCAGGAATTTTCAATGGGGGGGGGGGGGGGTTTGAACATTTTGTTTTTTATCACGGGGACTTTGTCACCTCCTTTTTAAAAAATATTAAATATAAACATGGTAATGTACTCTACAGAAAATAAATTTCAAAAATGAAAAATGTTTATTTAAAGAACAATATTCCGGTTCCGATTGATTAACGTGTTCATGTTTTCTTTTAAGATTATTGTAGGGTTCAATGTACTTAGAACTTCCAGGCACACTAGTAAAAATGTTATTATTTTATTTTTATTTTTATTTTTTGACTTTAAGCGTTTATGGAAAAAGAATAAATACTTAAATTTTATTACTATCATTAATATTTTTCAAAAGTATATTAAATTACTATACATTTTAATAATTAATCCGTGTGAAATAGTACAAGTAATTTTAGTATATACCTAATTTAGAAAAAACAATTAATAATTTTGATTAAGGGGGCCTTGACAGTTTTACATTAAATTTAGGGAGCCTCACGACAAAAAAAATTGAGAAATACTGTACTAGATTATAGTGTAAAATATCTAAATATAATAAATATAACTAGCTGTCCCGGTAAAAGATCATGTTTTTAATGTTGTGACAATTATTGTGACTATACTGTTATCAGTTTGATAAATTTAGATTATAATTTAGGAGCTATATCTACATATATTTTAGTGGCGACATCAATTAATTAATAATTAATAAACGAAGTAGGTACCAAGATGTAAATAAGATAAACTTCTGTTTAAATTTTTTGATATTTAGGAAGTCATGTTGTATATTCAGAGCTCAACTGATGTGCCATGTGGTACCTGCAGCGATTGTTCCCAGCTTTTTCACCTCTAAATACTGTGCATAGACAGAAATTTAACATGCGCCTCGCATGGTCATCATAGTAAAAAAAAATTCCTTAAAATATGTTGAATATGAAAAAACATTAATTTAGGACAATCAAATGCAAAATCCCATGGTAGAGGTCACTGAACATATAACATGTATTTTTCATCGTTTTTACATAGTTTTTTTTCATTCGAATTAATATTTTATGACTTCATTATGAAGTTTATACTGGAATTACATTAAATTATATTATTATTTGTGACTAGGTATACTGTTATCAGTTTGATATATTTAGATTATAATTTATAATAAACTTAGTAGATGTAGAAGATAAACTTCCCTACATCATAAAATAAACAAAATTTAATGTAATATAATAACAAATTGTTTAATCGTTTGCTAAAATAATTGGTAAATCTGAGTTCAAAATTGTTAGGTACCTCATCAAATTAATAATTATAATAAAATTGAATGGTATATTTTATAATAATTGTCATTATAATCTATATAGGAACTTGTAACACCTATAAAGTATTATCGGGTAGGTCAAATTTTTGAATTTTGTTAGTAAATTTTTGTTATTTAGGGGTCATGTTGTACATTCAGGACAATTAAATCACATTCAGAGCCCAACTGACAGCATTTTAACATGTGAGGTGGTCATCATAGTAAAAAAAAATACTTTAAAATAAGTTCACAGTTTTAAATGTTTGTACAATTTTGTTTTTTTTTGTCTAATATTTATATACTTTCAATGATCTTGTAACCCCTACCTACCTCTGACTATGTAGACATGTATGTATTATTTTTTACCCACTTTAATATATTTTGTTTACTTAATACTTGCATAACATTTTAAAAAGGTTGAATTAGTTAAATTATAAATGTGTAAACAAATATTATTTATAAACCACTGCTGATGTAGGTAGTAATGTAGTGTATCTACAAATATAAAATTGAAAATAATAACAGAGTTTTTCAATCATCGATGAACTAGACTACCAAACTAGACGTCCAAAATTGTTTTTGCACCATTCATGTGAAGTTACAACAATTTTAAACCGTTATCTTCATAGTAGCTACCATTCCATATATTATTAAAATAATCATTGAACACTAGTTCAGTTCGTTCCTCTAAAAATAGTTATGTCTTTATTAAAAAATATAATACATATATTAATGTTAGAGCATGAAATTTTAGTAAGGTACCTATACCTATTTTAATTAAGTAAAAATAAAACATTTAAGTAAGATTGGTATTTTGTTTCTATGTTAGGAAGAACCTAGACAATCTTTTTAGCTAACACAAAAGGTGTGTACAAGTACAATACACTTAGTCCAGTAAGAAATGTTCACTCTGAGGTAGGTATAGGTACCTACTAAAGTAAAAAATAAAAATAACTGTGAGAGACTAGAGATCACATTCTACGCATTAATTTATTGAATTATAATAACATAATAATATTGTTTAATATTAGTTAGGTACCTTTTCCTACTAAATAGTTATTTTAATTTGCTTAAATTAAATAATATAATATAATATTTAAATTAATATTATATATATATATATATATATATTATGAAATTAAATTAAATTATTTGATAAATGATAAAAAAAAAGCGGGCAATTTGAAATGGGCTAATGAGAACGTGGTATACATAAGGCGCTCTGTGGCGTCCTGGGTTTCCTAATACGCTTCCCGGTTACATTAATTATTAAATTATAAATTAGAATAAATTACAGTTTCCAGCTTCTACTACAACATTATTTTATGTTTTTAATTTTTAAAATGCAGTCTGCACCTTGTGCCGGTGATTTTACGCGTAATATAATAAAGTTGATACTATATATAGTACCTATATAGTCATAATGGGTACCCGATTGCTTAATTAAATTATCCACACGATTTCAATAAAAAAAATATCTATGAAGTGTAAACATCCGCATTTCTATTAACTATAATTAATACTTAATTGTATGAACTATATACATATTACATATATTTTTTTCGAAAAAAATATTTAAAAAAACAAGAATAATTCCTATTTTATGTCACACGAGTTGATCTAGCAACTGACCGCTACGACAACTCTGCAATTTTTTTAAGCATATAATCCGTTTTAAAAACGTCCAGAAAAGTGTTTGTTTTGAGACTCAATAAAGTCTGTGTGTCTTGATAACAACTAATTTAATTTAAAGTGTATTGTTGTATTATATTATAATGAAAAATAATAATTATAGTAAAATATATAATACCTATAACAGTATAACCAAAACATTTAATACCTATATCTAGCCATCTGTGGTATAAACCATACTAAAAAAGGTGTAAGTATGCTAATAAAATACATGAGGTGTATAATATATTTATGTATATCAAATATAAAGATTGATAACATTATATTGTTACTTCGCACAAACCTAAGATGATACCTGGCGTACAGTATATGCAAAATGGTACGTATTAAACTTGGCTTGGTGAAACGAAGACGGCCTTTGGACTGTATTCGATCTCGCTTATTTTATACATTGCGCTTTTAGGATTAAACTTATAAACGCTTCTACGTCACCCAGTTAACAGATTGTCCGTGGCAATAGATATTTAATTTAAGTCTTAAAGTAAATATAAAATAGTAACAATATGAAAACAAACTTAAGCGTAAATATCGACTCTTCCGGTGAAACCTAGCTAGAGTGCCGCCGTCGCCGAAAAAACAGCTATAGTTCATCCATCTTCATCTCGCTCCGAACTGAAACTTGAAAGTATCGAAATATTTTATGAAAATAACCCGATCGTAACGAAATGTGCGAAATTGTGTTAAAACTTACATTATAATAATATATTATACGGCTTACCGAAATGTCCGTCTATTCTGATGGCTTATTATATTTTTGTTCGCTGAAATTATTAGAATTGTTAATCGTCGCCGACGAATGTCGACAATAATTGACGATTGCCATAGATATTATTATAAAATATATTATTTACTATGATAAGTCCATAGAACTTATATATTTTACTCAGTACCTATGCGGTCTATTGATAAATCGTACTTATGCACTTTTACAGAAATCTTTGTGATCAGCAATGTACCTATTCAGGTTTTCTATTTCAGTTAAAGTTCGCATGCCAAATTTTACTATGCAAAACTGGTCCAAAAGTCTATAGACCTTCTATTATTCGAATGCATTATACCACCAGTTCCTCTAGACACAGTGTTTGAGAAGTTGTATTTATTTGGTACCTACTTAAATTACAATATGAATTTTTATAAGTTACCGCTATGTAGGTACCTACTTGTCCTTAACTTGACTACCGGGATTTAAATAAAAAAATATAATTTTATTTAGGTAACCTTTTGGCTATTGATGTATTATAAAATAGAAACTTAACCTACCAATAATATCACTAGGTATATAAAATAATTAAATGCGATAATTTGAAGACCCCCTAATAATTTCTTGAAACCCCTAATATATTTTTTAAATTTAGTGTTATAATCTAGTTTAGCGCTCACACAATTTTTCAATTTTTTTTTTTCGGAAACCTATGTATTTCAACCAGTTAAGAATTATATGATGAAAAAATGAATTGTCGGAAATCATTAGTTTTAATAGTATAGCCTCTCGAAGTTCACGATTCTTGGTGTTTTACGCACCCGTACTACGCTTATGGTTTACCGAGCTTAAGTATAACAAATAATTTTTTTTTTTTAACCTAGGAAAATCAACGTTTTCAAAATGATTGTGCGAAAAATAATTATGACACCTATACCCATGGTGGTTTTACATAAAAAGTCAAAGGATGTTTTTGATTTTAATTGTCCGTTCGAGCGCAGCTTGCAGCGAGTGATTACGCCGTCTATAATATATGATAATATCAAAAATGTCAATTACCTATATAACTTTAAAATAAGTCCGACCGCCAGATTCAAACATCCCCGTCGTTTTTAATTAAAAATTAATGATTTCCGAAAATTCATTTTTGCAATATCGTTCTTAATTTTTTGTACCTAACTTGTAATATTATACATAGGTTACCGACAGTGGTTGAATTGGGGGGGACGCGGGGGGACGGAGTCCAACTTCTATTTTTAAAATATTTTAGCGTACCCCTTCTAATTTCAAGAATTGATAAGACATTTAAATGTTGGGGGGACGCACAAATGTTTTATACTTTTGCATACCCCTTCTATTTTTTTTCCAATTCAAGCACTGGTTACCGAAAAAAAAATTAAAAATTCGTGTGGGTGCTAAACTAGATTTGTTCCCAATAAATTATTATAATTTATAATTCTATTGTAAGTACAAATATTATGTTTGTAAAGTGTTCATGGGCTGAACATAAAATTTAAAAATTTAAAAATAGATGGGGGGTGCTGTCGGGGCCCCCTGAGTTAACAATTAGCGGCCCTCTACAGGAGCATTGTCCTGGCTACCCCTGTGGTTTGTTATACACTGTCTTAATAACTAAATATATATCTTTATTTGTGATTTTGCAGTATCTGTGTTCGTTCGTTTTATTTTCTGGGATTTTTATATTCTGGAGGTTTCGAATACTGTAATTTGATATTCTGTAGTTATAACCACATGACAGATGAAATTTCATCCAGGTATCTGTGTGACTTTTGTTTAAAGTTTTTTTTTTGGAAAATTATATTGGTCTGATCACGGTCTTCTTTCGTGGATCTGGGGGGTTGTTCTGGAAAAGTAAAATCGATGGTTTTGAATATGAAAGATGGGAGATGATCGATATGAATTTCGTGAGGTACCTACTACGAAACTGAGATGAGTGTGTTGAATGAAATAAATTAAAAAATTGATTTACACAACAATCTCTTAAAAATGTATTTAATTCAAATAATGAGATGAACCTTATAAGATCATTTAAATATTCCAGAACAAGCCCTCTGATCATGAACATAGTATTGGTACATTTATAAATGTCTAGGGTTCTGATTTATGATAGTATATTATCTAAAGCATATATATATTAGTCCGTGATTATACCACAGAATAGATGAAATCAGAATGGACACTCTCCAAAAACCATGATAAGAACTGAAGTGCCACCAGTGTAGCCATATAATAAAACTATTTTTATTTTTTGATTTATGTAGCAAAAGACCACTCTGAGCATCCGCTTTATTTGGATTTGTTTGTAAACAAACTGCTTTTTTAAGGCTGGTTTGTAAAAAATTTAAAAATTCACTTTTCATATTTCTTAAAAAGTGAACACGAGTCACGAGACCTCTACAAGTCCTCGGTTAATACTTAATTAGATATTTTGAAATTCTTGTAATTTTACGCCACAACCATTGATTATGGACTTCCTAAATAAACGCTTTAGAATAGGTAAATGCTGTATTAAAGACTGCAAAAGTTTTGAATTGGATCCGGATTTAATGATTTATGTGACTTGCATAAATATATTTAGTTTACAATTCAGCTTACTTTTAAATGTTCACCAAATTGAAGTTGGTTAGTAAAATAATTAAATAGTTTTAGTGGCGCAATCTCCGCCACTCACTGTATATTTGATAGTAGAGAAGTACATTTTGTTTAATATTGTATCTAATTTAAATATTATACATACCTAACCCCTCTAGTTTTGTAAATATCATTATAATAATTCTCGTTTAAACATAAAAAGATGTAAAAGTAAATAATTCAATAAATAAACGACATGCGCACTCAATTACATCACATACTACACTGTCACTCAGTCACTGGACTACTGGAGTAACTATACAAATATACATTATACTATATTTGTCAGTAGTAATTTAATTTGTATAGGGAGTACAAAAAAAATACCACGGGATTTCCGTGAAGACAATTACCGCGATAAGGGAATTACTTTTATTGGAAGGTCGAAAATCATATCTGTAGATCGCATTAACTGCCATACATAAACCTGCAGTTACTTTCATATTTTTATATTAATGAAATATTAAATATAAATATTAATTATTACTCTTATTAATGAAATATACATTATCCATTGAAAATATATTATATCGTTAATTACAGAATTTTCAAAGCAACCGCCAATTCGGTCGAAATAATAAAATTGTATACAATATTTTTTTTACTGTACTTTTTGGTAACACTGGTGGCACTTTAGGCTAAAATACCGTGTCTGCCATAAGAGCCCATGTAAATTTTTGGAGAGTGTCCATTCTGATTTCATCTATTCTGTGATTATACAATCTCGTATGATGTAAAGCCGTGGTGATAACTGATAACATTATTGTATTTTGTTTTTAAAGTCTTGACCAAAAATACTAACTTAGGAGTACCTGAATAATATTTTAAAATCTAAATACAAACGTTTCCGGCCATAAGTTCGGCAGTTGCTTGTGCAATCAATGATGAAAGAGTAAACAATACTTGAATCTGTTGAAATGACTTGCTTGTACGGAGACGTACTGAGTTTAAAGCAGCTGTTGAGGGTCGACAATATCGTGAATGCTGTCAGTTTTCAAACGAATAACAATAATATATTTGCCCTGGTACTCAGGTAAACGTTTCAGTATTTTTATTATATTATAAACTGATATAAATGTGACTCAAGAGTCATAGAAGTCTAGCAATACATTTTGTTTTCACGTTTACAGCAGCAACGATCTCATAATTTATTGTGATCTTGTTCCTCCATCGCTTAAATGGTTGCCTTGGCCCAAAGATGATGGGAAGAAAATTGTTGCCTTGGCATTCAAATCCACTAGTGAAAAACTCCTTGTATGCGGTTAGTACATAATACATTCATACAGTTTTTGGTATGTACATTTGTAAGCGAGTAGACCTCAACAAAGTTTAAATCTCGTCACATTTACATTTGAACGCTTAGTGGTAAAATCACTGAAATTACGGCTGGGTAAATGATAAATATGTGTAATATTTCTTACTTATGTATTAATATTATTTTAGGGTTTGATTGCACTTTATATTTGGTATTTGTTCGTGAAATTTTTGAACCAAGAGAAGGAGATCGAAGAAATAAGGTAAAAATTATAAGACCAGCTCCCGGGGAACCTACTAGTTCCTTAAATCCAACCGCGATTACTTGGTGGACTCCTATAGTTCCTACGTATTCAAGGTAAAGTTATTTGTGTGAAATTTACTTACTTGTATATTAATAATGTTACTGTACAATTTTAATATTTAGTGATATTGGTATTGTCGGCGGAAATATAGGAGAAATTGTTTTTGTTAATCTCCGTACTGGAGCTTGTCTTGGATCTACTTGTGTCAAATGTTGTATAAAATCTCTAGAAATATTAAATGAATTATGTTCCAATACAGTTTGGTTGATTGTAAGTATATTACTTATTGCATTTTATTCACATTTTTTATTTTAACTTCTTTATCTAATCTAATGATATTACTTAAGGAGACAATGTACAAAAATATATTAGTAATTTAATGTAATGTAACAAAATGTAGTGTAAATTCAACATATTTCCAATATAAAAAAATTTAACGCCGGCTAATAACCACCCAGTTAATGCCATAAAGACCTATATAAGAAAAAATATATTTTTATTATTGTAATGATTTTAGATAATCAGTAGTAATGGAGATCGTTGGAAACTATTGCTTGAAAGTTTAGACATTGGATACTGTTGGCTAAATCCTAAACCACATAGTGTACATGATAAAACAACTAAGTATAACTTATTAATTAATTATTCTTGGATTTAATTCACTCATTGTAATACATTTATCATATAATTAAGGCCAACTAATTCATTGAATATTGAAACAATTGTACCTGTTATATCAAATTTTCCTTCTACACGTGCTCGATTATTGGGATTACGACAATTATTTATAGAAAAATTATCTGCACCAAAAAAACAAAGATCTGTGATCAATTGTGTTCAAAGTGGTATTTATTGTATATTTGTATTTTGTCAAAATTTTTATTATTAAGTTTAGTTATAATATATCTTGTTATTATTTTAGTGCCAAATGAAGTAAAACATCCAAAACGAAGTTTTTCATCTGATGCAATCGCGTCTGGGTGTTCTTGTCCTAGTACTGGCCCATCACCTGAGCCTATTGCTAGTGTGGTTGACATGAAGTCTAATGTACAAAGTCATCGTGGTAAACAAACTATTGTCAGCTTTTGTTCTAATCATATTTTGGTAAGCTAATAAATGTTTAATTAAGTATAATTATTTAAATCAGAAACAATTATATGATTAATTTAAGTATATTCAGTAAAGTAAAATAATTTCTTTTTTAACAGTTCAATTTAAAAAGTTATTTTTTTGTTGATGCTACGATTTTTACATCATAAACTTTTATATTCTTAGGTACACGCTTCTGGATTTAACACTAATCAACCTTTGGTCTACAAGTTGTTTAGAGGAGGGGAAATCGAGAAGTTTTTATATACAGATCAATTTATATTTACTTCGCAAAATGGTGGTACCAAATTGAGTGTTTACTCATCAAATCTTTGCCAACTTAAAAGTGATATGGTAACTTATTTTTAAACATTTTGCAGTAAGGATTTTGTAAAAATTGAAATCATTGTATTATTGAAATTTGTTTGCAGGAAGATGACAAAGAAAAAAGCCTGTTAGGTACTTTTAATTTTGACAAAGGAGAATTAATTTTGGATATGTTTAGAGTGTTGGGGCGAAAAGTAATAACAACTTAAATTAATAAATTATATTTTTTTTAGAGTTAATGTTTATTTATGTTTTTAGACAAAGGAAAGTTTAGATGTTTCTCAAAGTGTTTCTCCCAAAAATAAAAATCGTTCCTCAACCATTAAAAAAAAAAGGTGTGATCGACAACATGCCCGAAAAGATAATACTGTATCTGAATTATGTGCAATAGTTACTAATTGTACATTATATTATTTGAATTTAAGGTGAAAATAAGAAATTACCTTTTTTAATGTAATATAATTCTTAGTAACTTGTGAATTTATATTGAATGTTATTTTAGCATTAAACCAGAAGAGATAATATTTAAAAACGTTATGGCTGGTGCTTTAGAACATGCAAATAATTTGTCAGAAGCATTTGATGTTGATATACGACCTATATTGGAAAGAGCAGCTGATCAACAGCTTAGTGCTAGAAAATTTGAAGAAGCTACTCTACTTTATCGACTGTCAAAGGTAAATAATTATCAATTTATAGCACTGCTATTAATACACTGCTTTCGTACACATTAAATGAGGTCCCAAATGATGTTATGCCCCTTGGTGTTGGTTTGTTGGTAAGCTACTTTATATGATTGGTTACCCATTGATGGCGATTGTGAGCAGGACACGGGATCAATTATTATTCATGGTGGGGTGAGAACGAAACTCAAATAGTTTTCATTCGCTACATGGTATACTATTATTCTGATTAGAGTATAGTTATTATATTATACGTACTCGTTTATATAGTTATTAATCGTAATTCAAACTTTTACTTACTTTGAAAAATGTTTGTATAATCTATTTATTTATATTACAGACAAATCCATTAAAACGTGTTCTTAGATTGGCTTCTTCTGGAAATACAGACAAAGTTGTTCTTTTTGTTAGTACACTTTTAGAACAAGCACATCCAAGAGATCTCACTGCTTTGGAAAGGTTACATATTTCAAATTTAGCTGTAATGAGCTATACAGAGCAATTATTACGTGCTACCAGTCGAGAAAAAACAAGACTAGAAGCTAAATTTTTGTAAATAAATTTACAGATTGAATTAACTTATTTCTTACTATCTTAGATTTGTGATACATAACTTTTATAATCTAGGCGTTTATTATCAGAAAACAATCATTATGATGAAGTTTTATGCGTCAATATTGTTGGTCAAAGTCGTTTATGCAATGTTTTGAGATTTTTAGCAGTTGAAAGAGGATTGCACAATGAAGTTATTACAGTATTAGTCAGTTTAATGAATCAACAATCTACTGATAGTCAATACTTGCACTGTAAGTAATTATTCATTAAGTTTTAAAGAAATTATTATAATGTCTGAAATATATTTCTTATGACCTGGGATGACTGGTATAATTAATATACTAACAATAACAAATAGGCCTATTAATTGTTTAATAATAATTTATTAACAATATATTCGATTAAAAATATTTCCAACTAGTTTTCTGCCTATATTTCTAAAGAAAAACAATCCCTGAAAATAATTTGTCAAGCAAAATCAATTTCATTATAAACACATAATTTATGTTTAAGTATACCTAAGACATACTCTGATAATTAAATATGATGGTAATTAACTTTAGTTTTGATATTCAAGTGAATTGACCTATTATCATTTTTAGTTAGGAACATTATCTGATTTTTCAATATTTTAATTTTCAAGTAAGATATGGGTATGTGAAATATTAAAAATTAAAGCATTAATAGCATTAAAAATGCTCATATCTTGCTTGAAAATTAAAATATTGAAAAATCGCCAAACACTTAAGCACAGCTAATTTTATTACCTAAACATTTTATAATAGGTCAATTCACTCTAATATTAAAACTAACAGCACAGTATTGAAACTAGTGAATGAAAATTTGGTATGTCTACGTGACTATGTGACTGTGAAGACAGTGATAACAAATGGATGTGTAGCTTCCACTTAAGAGAACGTGATACCCGCATGTGGTGTCTCCGTCTTACAAGTGTGTAACATAGCAAATTATACGAAAAGCAGAACACGTGTAGCTCCGTTAGCTTAAAAATTAGAGTGAATTGACCTCTTATAAAATCTAAAGGTGAGATAATTATTTAGACAACTTCATGGGCTTTTTATTATATTTTAATTTTAAAGTACTCATAACTCGCTTAAAAATCAAAATATAATAAAAAGCTCATGAGGTTGTCTAGATAATAATCTTACTTTTACATTTTATAAGAGGTCAATTTACTCAAATTTTTAAATTAACGGAGCTACACGTGTTTTTCTGAGCGTACAATTTGCTATGTTATACACTTGTAAGACAAAGACAACACATGCGGGTATCACGTCCTCTTAATAATAAAATTAAGTGTATAGTATGTACAACAGGTGTTTTAAATACATAAATATTGATAACAAACATTCACCAATTGAACCAGAATGGTTGTTATATACTATTAAAATAAATGTCATTATTTTAGTAACAGAAGGATTTTGGGATTTGGTGTCAGAATCAATTTTTACAGAAGTGTTGGTCGCCTGTAATAAATTTACAACACTTCATTCTAAGTTTATACAGACAAATTTGCATAATGTGCCTCATGATGTTCTTTTGGTAAGTTCTTAAAATTGCAATGGTACATGAATAATTATTTGTTAATATTATGTTTTATACTTAAGAAACTTAAAACACTTTACGACCCAACCAACCCAGCCTTACGACCAATATTACGTAAGGTATTTCAATTTAAAAATGAAAGCGAGTCTATATCTGAACAAGATAATAACGTAAGTAAATAAAATATATAAATTTAGTATTAATTTATTATTTACAACTGTTTAAGTACTTAAAGAGTATTAGAAAAAAATATAAAAACTTTAAAAAACGGTTTCTAAATGTTCAAATAGTCTTTCAATAGATTGGAAATTGAACATATTAAACAATATTGTACTTTAGAGAATTTAATCAATAATTTTTAATAATTTGTATTTTATAATTTATGTGGCCAAATATTTTTCAGCTCAATTATTCTATTAAAGAATGGTTAACCACTTACCTAATGATAATATCCAGACTATCTTCAAATCAATATTCAGATAATTTTGTAGAATCAGTGTCATATTCTCACCAACCTATTTCTAATGTCTCTGATTCTGAAAATGAGATAGAACATAAGTCTAGTCTTGGAGCTGGTTGGGCTCATGCAGCTCATATACGTAACCATAAACTTTATACATGGGGACATTCATCATACGGTTGTTTGGGTGTTGGACCACATATGACTAAAACTGCTACTCCAAATCCAGTCTCTTGGTTTGTTTACATACGTGTGGAAGTTATTCAAGTGGCATGTGGTCGAAATCATTCAATAGCTCTCACTACAAATGGAGTAAGTGTAATTTTCAATTCTAAAATCTTTTAACTAAATTCTAAATTATATAGGTCTATTCTTGGGGATCAAATCATTATGGTCAATTGGGTACTGGCCGCCGTGGTCAAGCTCCGTATCCAATGTTAGTGGATAGTTTATCTAACGAATTGATAGTAAGTGTTTCCGCTGGCCAATATCATTCTTTAGCCATTTCTGCAAGTGGAAAATTGTGGACATGGGGTTGGGGTGTTTATGGTCAACTAGGTCATGGAGCTATTGACGACTGTGAAAAACCAAAACTATTGAAGGCCTTAGAAAATGAAGTAATTTTAATCACTATAAAAAAGTATACTGTTTTAATTAAAACTTTAATATATTTAGAATATTATTAGTGCATATGGAGGTTATTCACATAGTATTATTCTTACAAGCAATGGAAAAGTTTTCACTTTTGGTTCTGGTTCATTTGGTCAGTTAGGTAATGGTAGCACAACAAAAATTACTAGTCCAGTACCAGTTTATGGACTCCCTGAACCAATTAAGTGTATTTATACAGCTTATTTTCATAATGTAAGTATAACTCAAAACTAAATAGTAGAAATAATAATGATAACATTAATATAAAAGTTAAACAAATAACTTTTTATCAAAAGCTAAAGAAATTATTAATTTATTCCGAAGTTACATAAAATATTAATTGTATTTCTAAAAATGTTGAACTCAGTGGGATGTAAATATATAATATTACCATAGACAATCAATATTTTTAATTATTATCTATTATTTATAACATCTAGTTAGCCTTGAGCGATGTTGGTCGTTTATATACATGGGGTAGTAGTCCACAAGTACTTCGGTTTCATGCACAATCACAAAAACGAGCTAGAAATCAACTAGTGTTAAATGAAGGTGATCAAGTAAGTTTTTACATTTTTGTTTTTATTGTATTATTAAATAATTTATAAATATTTGGCTTTCAGGCGGACGATGCAGAAATTGATGCTTTGACTGCTGATGATGGCTTATTACATTTAAGTCCAACACTTGTGGATACATCCCATATTTCTGGAGACATTTTTCAAGTATAACTAATTATTCATTTTTGATAATTAAGTAACATCTATAATAATACAATGATCCCATATGTAGATGTGTTGTGGCTGTCACCATTCAGCTGTTATTAGTACAACTGGACAATTATATACTTGGGGACTTAATTTAGATGGACAATTAGGTGTATCAGGTATACGTGAGAGACTCGTTCCAACAGTAACATTAGTTGGTCCACCTTCAGTTATAGTAGACTCATCATCAACTAGTGGCTCACTAATAAAAGAAGTTAGGTGTGGAGCTGATTTTACATTAGCTTTAGATGCAGCTAATAAACTTTGGGGCTGGGGTAGTAATCATGAAGGACAAGTAAGCATTTATTCTTTAATTCAACTTTTAAGTATTTATTATAAAATTTTTTTTAGTTAGGTAAAATTCCAGAAGAAGACTTGGCCAAGACATTATTAGATGGTAAAATGGTCATGATAAAATCAACTAATAAAGTAATTAAAATCCAACATGGCACTGTAAATAAGTTGGACTCTCCAATTGAAATATTATTGCCTCAATTAAGATTTTCATTTTCCAACATCAAAGATATACTTTCAATTCAGGTTAGTCATACTTATTATAATATGTATAATAATTTGTTTTATATTAAGAAGACGTAACATTGACATATTTTGTTTTCTCCATCTTACAAGTGTGTAGCATACCAAATTTACACTCAATAAATCACATTTAGCTTTGTTAGTTAAAAAATTAAAGTAAATCGCCCTATTAAGAAACTTGATGGTATTATGGTAAGAAAATTATTTATGTTTTTATGTGGGGTTTTTTACGATAATTCAGTTTTTAAGGGAGTTATGAGCATTTGTAATTTACGTTATATTATATGCGAAAAACTTGATAAAATTAAACTATTGAAAAAAAAATTACATACTAACACAAATAAACAAATTTTATAATAGGTCGATTCACTCTAGTTTCTAAACTAAAGAAGTTAAACGTGATTTTCTGAGTGTAAATTTGCTATGTTACACACTTGTAAGACAAAGACAACAATACCTGTTATGTTCTCTTAAAGGCGATGATTAATTTGTAAATGGTTTTCTAGGTTAAACGTCGTATTAATTTTCCCGGTTTACCTTCATTTGAGTGCCTTCTTGAAAACCTGAATTGTGTATCCAGTTTATATGGTATAGATTATTTGTTACATTATGCAATAGAGTGGTTTTATCCTTATTATAATATTTCTCCTGTCGTCTCAATGGTAAATTTGTGAAATTAAAATTATGTGGTGTAATTTCTTAGATAATTTTATTTTTAGTGTCTTGAAATTAAAAACCATCAAGCAATTAGCAAAATTCGATTGATAAATAATGAACCTTCTACAGCATTGTTTCATCAATTTGAAGCATTTGTAGAAACAAGAAACTATGGAGAAATGTTTGGATTTAATGTAGAAGGTGGTCATGAAGAACGGGCTTCAACTCCTCTTACACCATCTGAAGGCTTCACTATTAACCTTGAAGAAGGGGAGCTATTAACTTCTCTACCAGAATCGTTTGCACTGCGAACGGCCACTGAGGAAACCATTATAAAAGAATGGCCTGGAGTTACTAAACTTTCTCAGATGTTTGATTATTATTTCAAATTCCTACTAAAAGATAATTTGGTTTCATTTTTGCATGAAGTATGTATTATAAATATTACTTTAAACTTAGTGTTCATAATAATTAATAATTATATACATTTTGTATTTTAATTAATATTTATTAATATTTATTTTTTAGTATCTTACATACTGGTTGACTAAGTCTTTCCCAGTTGATGCTTTAGAACAATTATTAATGGATAGATGGGATCAACTCAATCATTCATTGGGAATTCTGTTACTATGGTAGTTATAGCAGTTGGTTAAATTTATAAATGATAATTTTTTTTATTTACATTTTTATTGATTTTCAGTAACAATGACGTATCAAAAGCATGTGACCTTCATGAGTTGAATATAAAAATTATGGAACCTAAAAAGATTTTGAGATGTTTTTCTGTGAATTTTTGTATGGAACTATGTTCATCTGTTTCAAAAAACATACAAACCAAATGTACGTTTATCATTGTTATTTGTTATAAATGTCACAAAAACTATATGAAATTTAAGCTTGTGATTTAATTTTATAGCTGAAGATCAAAGAGACTTTATACAATTATTGGCCACTGTTACTAATTCACCAGGTTCTGCATGGATTGAACCAGTATCAGAAACTGAAACTGAAGATTTACTAAACCGTTCAGTACAAGCACTTAATACTGATCAACAGCAACCATTTATGCACTTAGAGTTTCAAGTATAAATGTTTAAAAAAAATTTCCTAAATTAGTCAATTAATAAATTTGAACTTATTTTTATAGGACACGGAAATTTTGGGAAACACATTATTAGCATACTCTTGTGGCCATCGTTATTTATCAAATGAACAATTTAATATAGATTCTCAACAGGTTGTTGCTCGTTTAGATAATTTACCCAATACTGCTGTAGCTGTACAATCAGTTCTACAAGATATTAGTAATTCAGCTTGTCCAAATTGTGTATATGAACAAATAAATAATCTTATTCAAAGAGATTAATTAAGTTTTTAATTTTAATATCATATTTATTAATATTTTACTATATGTTTTAATTTAGTGTAAACAAATATTTCCAATTGAAATAATCTAGTCGAAATTAGAAAATTTATACTTTGTTTAAGATTTAGTTAAAATGTTTTTGTTGTGCAATAATATTTGTGTTTGCTTTTGTTATAGTAATTTATAAATATATACTGATATTTAAGGCAAAAAAGGTAAAGCAAATGCATCTTTTTTTCCGTGATTCTTAATCATTACAGCTTGAGTTTCCTTGTTTTCAACTGTCCATAATGGTTTTAACCCTAGGTTTATAATTGTTTCATCTTTCTGATCATATTCTTGACTTAGTTCTTCCAATACTTTAGGGTTATTTGTTACCATGCAACACGCTCTTAACGTGAAGTAATATATAATTTCCACTCCACTCAGTAAACTGAAACCTAAAAATAGACCCGCTATGCCACCAAAAGCAACTGTAAGAAAATCAAGATAATAGTAAATATTAGTATCTAATACATTTTTATTTAACAATTATTGTAACTTACCTAGCAAATCTACCCAGCCAAATAATACTTCTCTTCTGTACCTCACCATTGGCCATGATACGAAACTGATTTCTAGAGGTTCATCAATCTGATCAGACCTAATAATAATTGTATAAGTCCAGTATTTACAATTATTTTGATTTTAATATTTCATTGTTTCAGTAATATATCGACCTACTGGGCATCCTGGAGTTTTTCTACTTCGTAAACTGTGTTCATACACCCCAATTCACATGGGCAGGCGAGTCCATTCAATATTTGTTCTAAAACATGTCGAGTGAATTAGACAGTTTCATTAAACAAAGATTCTGACTATACTATTTAGAGATGAAAATTTTACATTTTTGAGGAGAAATTACCCTGTTAATGTATTGTATCATAGATAAAAATGTACCTACTAAATATTAAACTGAAAATACGTACTGAGATTTTTACCAATACAATTTAGTCCGTCTAAATCGCAATACTTATAGCCACCTGAAACAATAATATTAATTATGTATACTAGAATGTATAATACAATAATGGTTGAATAAATTGGTGAGCATTGGATTTATAATAATATGAACACTGTTTCTGGAAAAAATTTAAAACCTCAAAACATATTCAACAATAATTTAAAATACCCAATTAAAATCTTAATGTATAAGTAAATATAGAATAATAATATGTTATGTTATGTAAAAATTGACATAAGTGCACAAATCTAAAAACTGCAAAGTATATTCCCCTAAAAAAACCTTAAGAATAAACGCTCCATGGTCTATAAGAAACCTAAACATAGACAAAGTCCTCAACATTTAAAAACCCCAAGACCGCATTAAAAACTTGGCCAAAAGTTTCTTCAAGGCCATTCACAAATCAATAGGTTCAATGCACTACCACCTAGTAGAATACTTACCATGTACCACAGCTCCAATGCCGTCTACAACGTGGTCGTCCTTGAATTTCATAGTTATATTATTTAATTCTTATATTAGACTAGCTGATCCCGTGCACTTCGTCGCCCGTTAAATGGATCAACTCAATACTACCTACTCAAACTTTGTTCAATTCATTAACGTGTATGGTGTTCAAAATTTATCTTATCTTTCCCGTTGCCCTGAATAAAAATTCTGAATCGCAGCAGTACATTATCAGGTAGGCAATCTACCTGTGGTTGATCGCGGACCCCGTGCTGTTTGTACGGAAGTGTATGATTTAACTCTAAAGTATCAAAGTTATACCAAGTTTATAAATTTGGTTGCTCGTAAAAAATCGCAACTCTTAAAAAAATTATGATTGTTGAACTCCTTTTGGGTGTAATTTTCTGCGGTAAGTGCAACTCTGCCACCCTGGTAAGCATTGTTCAATAATTCGATTTGATGCAAGCTTGTACCTGATCTGCCCGAATAACCAATGGCAACCAATAAATAAATGCTAATTTCTAATGTAGACTGTAACCAATGGCAACTATAAATAAATAAAAATAAAATTTCCAATTTCTATCGTGAATCTCAATGTCCCTGTTTCAGCACCTATTTAAAATGCGAATTTTGGCAAATCCTTTCTTAGCGCACGTCTATATTATAATAGCTATCCGTATGCCAAATTTCAGCCAGATCCGTCCAATGGTTTGAGCTGTGCGTTGATAGCAGTCAATCAGCTTACTGTTTTTTATATACAGATATGGTTGCCATGGTAATATGGACACACACACACACACACACACACACACTGACATACATTCATTTTTATATATATAGATTGATATGAAATCTTGGTAACCTTAGTAACCATGGCAACCTTGGTAACCATGGTAACATGGACACACAGACACACAGACACACTGACACACTGACATACATTCATTTTTATATATATAGATTATTTAAGTAGGTGTTTACTATTTCATTATAATTTAAATATTGCTTAACTAATTTATCACATTAGTAATTCTTAATAGGTATAACTATTAAACTATGTATGTATAATGTATATATTTATCATAATATACCATTTATTTTACATACGGTAGGCACACCTACTGAATATGTTTGTATAATATTGTTTGTATCAGGGACTGGAACCTTGATGATTTTTACAATTCCGGTTCCTATTCGGTTGACAGTTCCCAGTAAAACTAAAATTTATGTTTCAGTTCTTAAAAAATAAAAAAATTGTTACCTGATTTGGTTTTTTACTTGTGGAAAAAAGTTTGTCAAGTATTGGTTCCGATGATTTTAAATTAATTTAAATAAGGGTTTCGGTTCCCAATATTCAAAGGGTTCCAGTTCCAAAATCGGTTCTTTTCGGTGATGTTCCAGTCCTTGGCTTGTATTATGAAAAATCAATACGATTTGTTGCTATGTCAATTCATAATTTGTCCTATTATATTCCTCTAGGGTAGGTAACGTATGATTATAATATATACTTTTTTAACTTAATTCAATAGAAAAAATTAAAATAATATTGTCAGGAGACTGGATCTGAAATCGGCATCAGGTTTGTGGTCATAAATCGTAGCAGGAACGTAGGAAGCCAAAATAAAATAATATATTAACTGGCATCATAATAATAATGTTCTAAAATTTGTTGCAGGATTAATTTGTATACGGTTTTACTGCAGTCTAGGCCGAAATTAGACCAGTTTCTTAGGACGTATATTTCAGTTTTATTAACGGAGATTAGTCAACTGCTCTTAAATTACCTTTTTATGAGCCAACTGTTCACGGATGTAATATAAATATATGTAGTTACTATATATCCCGATATTGGCTTAGTGGCAAGTGGTTAAAGTCGTATAGATATATGTTTAGAAATTAAAATATAGGTACATATACATGAATTACATATGTTTGGCGTGTTAATGAAATTTATTAAATATTAGGTACTGGCACTCATTGAAGTCATTGTAAATAAAAAAAGTTAGTCTTACAAATTACAATATATATTATGTAATGAAATATAACATATACGATCAGTGGCGTCCACAGGATTTTTCAATGGGTGGGGGGGCTTGAAAATTAGTTACATTTTTATTTTTATTTTGTCCAGTCTAATAATTTCAGACGTTTATTTGAGGTATTTTAAAATGTTTGTAACTTTTCAACTTTTCTGGCAGAAAAAATGCTCTGATCATAATCTTCGACGCCCAGTGTATGTTTTTGGAAGCAAATTGGATCTAGTTGGTACTTTTAGGAGGTCGAAATTGAAAATGCTCAGTGCTTTTAAAAATAATTTGAGAAAAAAAATGAAAATTTATTTAAATGTTTGGTTATACCGTCTTCACTTGGATTGTATTTGAATAATTACATTTTTTTTTCTATAAATGTCAATAAAAAATTATTTATCCGGTCAAAAAGCTTAATAATGTAATACGTACGTTTTTTTTAATATAGCTAAAATATTAACGATACATAGGCATAATGGTTATTTTTTATAAGCATTTAAAGTTCAATTCAAATTTCGTCAAAACCACAGTTAATTTGTAGTTCAAAACTTATTAAATATAAAATATGTCTAGCTAAGGCTAGACAATTGAGTACAAGGTCTTTTATACAAGTAGTTCATACTTTTACCGATAAATTACAGATAATTTATGAAAATTGGTATGCAAATATACAATGTTTTTTCAAAAATGAATTCATTCTGGTAAGACATGTATGCAATTTACGTCTTGCTTACTATAGTTGATAGTTTAACTTGATTAATATTTTTTTGAAAAAATAATAAATAAGGGCAATGGGGGGAGGCTTCAGCCCTTAAGCCCCCCCTGCTGGCGCCACTGTATAAGATACCAGTATAATAGTACCTATATATAATATTTAAATTGGTGTAGAAATTACTAATTAGGTACCTACCTATTATAATAGTTTTCTAGTTATAATATTTATTTATTTTCTTTAAGTTCTGATATAAGGCACTAATATAGATACTATTTTTATAAACGAATGCAATTAGAAATAATATTTCCAATAAAATCTTGTAAAACAATTTCATGCTTTTTCAAAATATTATGTACCTAGTACCTATTACTCTACCTAGTACCTACTAATTTAGCATCACGTTGGTCGTTGACTGTACTTGAACTGTACATTTTATATTATCTCCGTTGCAACCTCGCATAAACACTGGATGGTTAGTGGTTACGATTCCATAGACATTATAAGATTCTTATATTCTCTATGTACGATTCAGCCTGCATATAAGCACGCTGATAATGACCGGTTGAAATATTTATGGCCGTGATTTATATTTTATGGAGACCTATAATTAGAATATATAATTTGGTTTTTGATAATTACTATTTTTTTTATATCATTTTATAAGACTACCACAGACGTTCACAGTATTATATGAGAAGATGATGGATTGTGTATCGACATAACTGCAGCAAACGCAGTTGCCTATTATATCATCCTATTGAAAAACCCTAGAAAACCAACCCTATACTGCAGCTGTTGACCCCCCGACAAGGACGAAAATCGCTTCGTAGATCGGTAAAATTGGTACTATTTAAATAAAAGTTAAATTATATTCACCTATAGATTTATAAAACCAAGAGACGCATCCACATAGTTTCCGGCTGGTGTCCATTCGGCATTGAATCATGCATGCACTAAACGTGTAGTTGGAGTCCGTCAATAACGATATCTCATCTGGAAAAAACGCATTTCCTCTGCTTTTAGCGTTAACTGTCGGGCGCCTTCGGTGGTGTACGTTTGTTTGCTGTTGAAATATATTTTTGCTATCCTCCTGGTCCACAGGTGTTGTGGTAACGAGTCTACAATTAACATGTCGTCCATGCTGTGTATGAATACCTGCCGCATCATTGACAATATACAATTATAGGGAGTTTTAACTTTTGTACGTATAAAGTAGGTACTTAATATTACCTACGTGGAGACAGGATATAAGTATTAACTGAAGGACGCATCGTGTACTTGGAGGGTGCGAATCACCCCGCATCAATACAATTGATTAATTTTTTTATTTATTCACATTTGAATGAAAAAAAACCCAGACCCATCCCGTCCCGTCCCAGAGCCATTGCATACCAAGAGTTGGATCTCCTCAACTCGTCGAGTTGTACCTATTTAGATACAATTAAGTGAAGAGAGGTTGGTAGTAGGTTGTAGGTGATAACCATTGATATAAATACAATTATACTATTTTAAATGCTTAATCAATGGTGATCAGTGGCGTACGCAGGGGTAGGGTTCTAGGGTTCTGACCCCCCCTGAAATTTTTTTTTCTATAAAAAAATCTTAGTTACAACCATTTTGATACACACATATTGCAATAGTTGGTCATTTTTAATGGATATAAAATAAATTGTTGAACATGTAAAAGGTGTCGATAATCGTAGTTTTCTGTTCTTTTTTTCGGGTTATTAGAACATTATAATAAACGTCTGCCATAATCGATGGCGTACCATCGTCCATCAATTATTACCACGTTTATTACGGCCGGAGGAGCTCTATAGATGAGCAGGTTAAATACACTGTAAATGTAGACTAAATCTGAGACTCATTGTAATTTGTTATGTAAAAACCGCCAAGGAAAAAATAATGCAAATTATTTACTCAGATAAAACCCTAACCGAACTAAAATCCTGCGTACGCTAATGATGGTGATACCCCTGCTTATAAGGCTATAGGTACGTCACAGTAGCTACGTAAATTTGTTGTTCTATTCGTGCCATGTTGCACATGCTTCTTACCTTTAACGGGTTTTTAGTTACGTGTCCATGTAAACGTGATTGTCAGCTTGTTGTCCGTTTCGAAGACGTATTCTGTGTTGGCCTTTGAATAATTTTCGGCCATCCTGTCGACCGACAAATAAAATAAATTCAACGGTGCAGATAATTTGCGTTATACTTATATATAGGTAATACATAATAGTATAATACAAATGTACGCGCGTATTGTGAAAAAGTGAAAAACGTTAACCGTGTTGGGTCGCATTATTTGCATTACCATGGCCAATCCGGTACCACGTGTTTGGCATTGAAACTGTAACAAAATCCGTATTCGGTGAACACCGGCTCAACACCCAAACAACAGTTGTATGGTTCGCCTTTGAACGTACAGTCGTATAGTAAGTCCTCGCAATGATATACTACCTGTATACGTCAAGCATCGCAGTAGTTATTACTTATTAGTTAATAGTATTATTAGCAGCCAATTTGTAATAATATAAATTGAAATATTACTTGATATGCTAAATCTTTTAACTTATCCTTTGGTAGCCAATCGTATTCAGAAAATTGTTCAAACGTTTGGACGTTATCGTACGAGAACGACGCTACTTCGTTAACAAATTTTAAAAATATCTCGACGCGATCATTTTCCGTGTTATTGTCGTACACACTAAAGAAATATACGTTTAAAATTAAATTATACAATAGTGTATACAACAAAGAAATTTAATTTATTCATTTAAGAACCAACTGTCTAAGAATATGGTACATGACAATGCTGTGGAGTAACCAGGATTTTCCTTGGGGGGCTGATCACCTTTTACACTGTGGTGGTTTACCTAGGTTCTTCCATAAGTTTAACATAACAAAGTGTTAATACTTATAGTCAATTTTTAAATATTTTAAATACAATTGAAGTCTTTTAGAAAGACTATCATAGACCATTGAAATAATTTTTAAATTTTCTTTACATTTCGGGGGGGGGGGGAGGTGTTGCTGCAGCTCCATCAGCCCCCCCCCCTGGCCAGGGACGTTTTTATCTTGTTCCGTTTGCCGATTCTCGCAGTCTCGCACTCTCGCTATACTTTTGCGAATCCGCTGATCCATATAACCCATTACGAAAATATAATTTAAAACAATATTAACATTTAAACAATTTATTTCATTTTCCCTTCCTTGTCTTAAAAAAATTGGTTTAATTCAGGTGAAAACAAATTCCATTTTGCCAAAATCAAATATATTGCCAAGTGGTGGTGGTGGTGGGGGGGGGGGGGGGGGGGTTAACATCCACTAATCAAGGCTCCATTTAGTTTTAAGCGTTTCATATGTAATTGTATGTGTAATGTTTAATGTAGGTAGGTACCTATATGTAATGTATAAACAGTGATTATGTAAGCATACTCATCCCACCTTTTAACCCTGATAATGTTAATCCTAACTTGTTAAAGGGGACGCTTATCTGAGTCCCCTTGCGTCCACCTAATTTAACTCCTGTCACTAATAGTTTACATTTAAATAATTATGGTGCAATTTAAAAGCTCGTAGGTATTTAATTGTTTATTTGCAATCTCAAGGGCTGAAATGATTATCTATATTTTCAGATTTTCTATAGGATTCAACTTTTTGCAGTACAGTTCAAAATAACAATAATTAGGTACGTCTAACCATTTTTTTCGGAGGTACATAAATCGATGACGTGTCCCCTTGTAGACTGTAGTTAATCACATAAAATAAATGTATAACATATTATAATAATCATAGGTATATACATTATACAATAATATATAGAAATAGAAACATACAAATTATGCGCACTAAACAAAAAATTACCCCTACCTGCCTATTTATACTAAAGAAATGCTCTCGTTATAACATCAAAATATGTTCACCTAGTTACGTAATCCCACACTTTTTCATCGGAAGTTGGTCTTTTAGGACATACTGTTATAGCTGGAAATTGTACGTCCCAGCTGTGGAAGTCCGTATCTAAACCGGTGATGGTCGGACTTGTTTGAAACTTCTCCCAGAGCGATATTATTATGATAGAAGTCACAACGATTCCCACAGATAAGAAACTAAACCACATGAACCTATATAAAATATTAAAATATATAATATATGACTAAATGAGTCTTAAATACAAATATTTCCTTTTAAAATATAAATTCTTTTACCATTTCTAAGCAATTTTTCGTTGCTGTGAAGAGTCTTTATTATACAATGTGGTTATAATATTGTTAATGTTATGATATATTGAATTACAATTAAACTAATTATTACTAAACTATTAATTTATTTACTTTTATTGTAATTTTAAGTTTATAATAATTTATAACTATAATATATATAATAGGTACCTACAGTAATTACCTATGTCTAACATTTAACTTGTATTTTTTTTTTTAAATTGATTAATTATAAATATTTTTATTTTCAAGGCGAGCACTGCCCACTGGATATGAGTGATATGTGTATATTTATATAATTTGAAAACATTGTCTTTGAGTATAAAAATATATTAATATATAAAAATGCAAAATCAGGATTTGTACAAGTATTTATTATTATAGGAAGAACGGTGACGAGGAATAAGGATACTTGTTGAATCGTATTGTATATAATAAATATTTTATTCTCATTTTTCATTGGGGATATTTTTTCCTCGGCCGTCCGTTACCTGTGAGACAAGTGTAAAATTAATCAAATTAATCTAAATACCGTTCGTGAAGTGGCCGATCGCTCTGTGCTATGTATCTAACGCCATGTAATGTGCTGTTTTTGAAAATTCGTTTGAACTGGAGACGCATGCTAGTCTTCAATAGCTTTGTTTTCGACGTGTCGACTTTCTCTGTGTTACCCAAACCGTCAAACATTGTTGATGTTGTTTCTCCGACGGTTTACTTTGTATTGTAACGAACAAGCACCGTCGAATGTGTTTATATTCATGCAGGTATATAATTGACTGTGAAAACGCGAAAAAGTTATCTCTGTCAATCTGGCGTGTACGAAATATATACTCAAATTATTGGTGTCGAACAAGGGTACCTATACTTTGTTATTGATTTATTTTGGGTATAATGTTTGACACGGATAACAATTATTATGACTATATATTATATAGGCTATATACAGTGCCTATATACCTCCTATAGTTTACCTCAAATTTTTAACTAATGGCATTGAAAATATTCATCGGTGAAAAATACTATATTATATTTGAATAAATATTTGATTTAGGGCTTTAATCCTATTTAGTCTAACCAACCACCATTATTTGAATAAAAATAACACAAAAAAAATATCCTTTTATTAAAGGAGAGGCTTATTAGACAATTCATATCATATTATTTCACAATTTATATCGATATATTATGATATTGTATAGACGTTATAATATTATTATAGTTATCTATCGTATTAGGTAATTAAATTTAATATTAATATATTTTATATAAAGTTTTACCTATAGCCAATATATGTAGTTACAGTATTCCACATTGCCCCATTGGTCACTATATTTTACACACTTTTTTTGTAAGCGTTGTAATATAAGTTATAACTATTAACTAGAACAATAATCGTCTTCATTACAGCTACAAATTAATGTATATTATTCGTTGGGTCAGGGTGTTTATGGTTTTATACATATTTTTTTCTTTTAACCACGAACATTGCAGACGAAATTAGAGTAGAAACAGTTAAATTAAAATTCTTTTATTTTTATATTTTTTGCTGTTTTGTTTTTTAACTATCAAATAATGTTTTAAAACAATTTGTCGTTTTTTCTTAATTTTAGATTTCAAAAAAATGTTTAAATTCACAAGTTTTTTTTATTAGATTTATTTCGTACATGTGCTCGTTCACGCTACACAAGCGTGTCATTCATGCTTTTACAGACATATTATTATTGTTAGTATCACACTCCCGCACATTGTTACAACTCCCGCGAATACGAATTTTATTTTCGATCAATAATCTAGGTATTACCTATAATATTTTGTATTGTAAAGTACAATTTGAATGAACAATACAATTTTAAATATTTTTATGTATATTATATTTGATTGTTTTAAGGACATAATTTGATATTTTTTGGACATATTCGCATGCAATTTTTTTTAGACTTTAAAAACTCCAGTGAAAAGCACCAGTGTTAGTATGATTATAAGTTATTTATAACTGGTATACAGCTGTTGAACTGATTTATTGATATTTACACTTGAATACATGATATATGCGATTAAATTTAAATAACTATTGTTTATTGAAAAGTAAATCACAATAATGTTTAATAGTTGAATGAAACGTAGGTACGTTTTAATAATATAGTTATTGTAATTGTGAGAAACAATTTTTTTTTTCAATTAATTCAGCGGGAAAAAATAGTTTATTTTGTTAATTAATTTAGCTACATTTTTTCTCTAAACATTTTAATATCACACAGTTGAATATTATTAACATATACGTCACTGTATATATGAGCCTTCACGTTCATTCGTTATTCCTGTCTCCAATCCCTTCACTCTATAATTAGACTCACTCCCCCACCGCAAAACGCGTCAACGCCAGTCCTTGGACGTATATAAAAACAAATATAGAATTTCTTTAATTTGTTTATTTTTCCGTCTTTTTTTTTGTAATTGTTTTTACACGTAAAGGTTGATATTTATTATTTTGTGTGCAGTTTGGCAAAAGGCGACTTTAACGACGGAGGCGTAAGTGTGCACTGCATAATAATATATACGAAGCCTTTTTTTTTTTTTAAATCGTATATTTTCTTTCCGTCGTTTTCGGCATCGGTGGAAGGGACGCGGGTATTATAGTATACAGCAGTGAGTCGTGTGTTCCAAAATTAAACTTCAGCCAAATGGATCACCGACACGGTTGTGTCTAGAGTGTACAGTTTAGTGTACACCGCACCGTCATCTCGTCGTGTCGCTCTCTTTGACTGCTCTGTACCGCAAATCAGCATGACGACGGAGCAATGTTTTCGTCGTTAAAGTTTTCCACGCTGCGGTCGAAGAAACACACGTCTCCGAAGCAAACCGCGCCACACCGGAAGTCCACGAGCAAATGTAAGGAGCCTACACGTGAGCAACATTGTATACCTACGTTCGAAAATACCTATATGATATATTATATATATGTGAGCGGGGCTAGGTGAATTGGGTTCGCATCGAATTTGTGTACATTTTAAACGCGGTAAATTGAGTCGTGAGCAAAAAAGGTATATAGTAGGTATAAGTTGGGTCCGGGCTTCAAACCCACTTACCCACCGTTTATACCACAATTATGAAATTTGACTTTTACAATAAAGATTATAAGCACGTCATGAATTTTGCTTTGATTATAATTTGGAAATTAAATTCATTTTTTAATTTTTACAATTTTTACCATAAGATTTTTTAAACTTATATACAATGCTATAAATCATAAGATTTTTAATTTATAAAATTTATACCATAATTATTATAAAATTTTACATGTAAACAAGATTATTAGTTATTAAAAAAAATTTGATGAAAAGACTAACCTTTTTTCCGGGACTCAACTTACTTACTACTTTTTTCCCCCGGGACCCAATGAACCTAGAAAATGTTATTTGGGAAACAATTTATCAATCCCTATATGAGCTGTCAACGGAAAATTCACGATGGCGTTCTTATAATTATTCGTTTTAGGGCTTCTGGACAAGGTGTGTTCGACTCAGAAAAGCGAAGACAAACGAATGGTCTCCAAGCACGCAATTTACGAGTCCAGCAACTACACGGATCAATGTACGGGTATAATATCTGTATACTATATACACAATATATAATAATACAAAAATATAATATTGTTTATGAATCCTGAGGCTTTAATTTTCGGCTTAAGCTGAATATAAAATATATATATATTTAATAGATCTGCAGTAGACGCGATAATCAATAAAGAATACATAAATTAACTTAATACTATATATTATAATATACGCACTCTACACACATTATTGTTGTAAAAGTCTTTTTTGAGCATGATATAGGTACTTTATTATAATTTCTAGCAATAAATATTTAAAATAGGTAATAGTATATGAAAAATTAATAATACTTGGACGATTTAGGATATTGAAACAGTTAGAAAACACATCTATACCTACATCTATGTTTTCATAAAAACCCAAGTTTCTTATAACTTGATTGGTATTTTAGTTTGTATACGTCTTTAGTCTTTATTTTCAGATCAGTATGTGAAGCACAAAATCATCGACGTGTTCATCGAACGGGAAGACGGTAGTCTAGGGATAGTGCTGCGTGGTGGTGCACATCCGGACCCTGACATGTGCAAGCCGTTGACCGTGACGCACGTCAGACCCGATGGACCTGCCGACAGGTTTGTAACTTTTAAATTTTAAATCGAGTCCAGATTTTTGTTCAAACGATGTTAATTGATAAAAATTAATAACTCGTCATAATTCACAATCATAAATAATGTTATATTATTATGAATTATGATCAGTGATCTGGCTTTGTGGATATCGGGACTATGTGTAAAATGTTTTTGGTGAGCCTCTATATTCAGTGGCGTGTGTTCAGTGCGTTACTTTGGGGGCTTCGAATGCTTCGATGATAGTATGAACCGGCAATGAACCTATATGACTATATGATGAATATATGAAAACAATTCGTTCCAGTTAATTACTAACCAATTAAATCCATAAAATAAAACGGATATTGTAATAAATAAAAATTATTAAATAACTACAAACTAATCAGTTATTATTAATACTAAATCCAAAATATGTAATAAACTAATAAACGTCGACTCCCCTGGTCATACTGTTGGAATAACAGTTCATATTGTAACCTATACATGGCTATGTGCCTATTTGCCCACCTAACTGTGGTTACTTTCAAAATCCATTTAGAATTTAGATACTAATTGACAATTGTCCTTCTCTCTCTCACTATAGCACATATATTTACAATTTTAATTACGTTTTTATTCTCCCACTGAGCTAAAATTCTCCTACATTAATGTTCTTTCCAGTTTTATCCAATAATGTCATTACTGGAGGCCGGAATTATATTCTTCCAATATTCTTTAAAAATCATAATAAAATATGATTTTTTTATTAAAATATTCTCTTCAACTAAAAATATGCATTCATATGCAAAATAATTAAACACATAATACAAAAACCTGATATAAATCGGTACATAATAAAAATTACTAGATGTTAAGGAAAGCTTGATTAAACTATTAATAATGATATTTAATGTTCAATTTTTTTAAATTTTTAACTAAGCAAATTGTTGAAAACAGTTGACAACTATATTTTGTTCCATGTGCTCTGGTATAATATTTGTACGACGGTCAGTTAAAAATTAAAATGATTTTATATTATGTGCTAAAGCCTAAAAGAACGTTCGACGTCAACTGAAGTCACAGGAGCATATTGCAAATCAATTATCATAGCCGGTGAAAAATTATCTATAAGTTGCATCTTTATCTTAGAAAGTCTGCAACAAAAAATATCGGACCTCTATAAAAATTAATCAACATATTCTCTAATATTCTTTATTATACGAATACGAAATATTCATTTATCTTGAAATATTCCCAAATATGCAAAAAAAACTTTTGCCATTAACCCACCTGTTTCATGATTTGTAAAGATTTCGAACCCCTGTCTGACTGCATAGACTTAAAAAAAATATACAAAATAATATAAATTCGGCCCCTCCTAGTCATCACAATAAAAAAAATTCTGTTTTTATTACTTTCATTATTTGTTTATTTATTGTTATTCATTATTAAGTATCTTTAATTATTTATTAATTTTATTGTTATTACTTATTATCATTATTTTTTTTTCGTTTTAGTTTGGTCACTCTCCAAATAATAGTTAAAATACAATAATTTTTGTTAAAATTACATTGAATAAAAAAAACCATCAACCATCAATAATTGCTCAATCGTATATTTTTGTCCGACTGGCCGTGGGAATACCATAAATGCGTAGGGCTCCAGCGGGGTACAGTCAATTGGTCGTATGCAATTGGTCTGAGACTTATCAAACTGATACTTGAAGTATACGACAAATTTGTACCGCGACCAATTGATGAAAACCTCGCTCTAGGTGACTGCTCAACGTGAATTGCTTTCAAGCCGGTCCTGTATACAATACCTCTATCCTGCTGTCATCATATACATATTAGTATATTATACATTATACATAATATTTGAAATATAAACGTTTTTAATAGAGGTATTAATATACAGAAATGGACTGTACAGGAAATTTAAATGTCTGTATTTAATTGATACAATAACCGTAGAAGCAATAGGCATATTATGTATATATGAATGCAATAGGCACATACCTAATCTATTGCTAGTTAATTGTTAATTGGCCAAAAAGTTTCTAACGTTTTTATTAAAAACTGTACACAATTATGTGTAACAGAATGATCTGACAAATGAAATAACTTTTGTTCTAATCAATATTAATTTTTTTTTTTTAAATATATAATTTATAGACGCTTGCTTTACAAGTGCTGTATAACGTTGTTGATTTTTATATTTAAAACTGAAGATAAAAATGTTAAATGTAATTACAATTTTTCAGTAAAAGTTCAAAATAGCTAATTTTTAAATCTAATTATAAGTTGATGTTAAAAACGTTTATTTAGGTAGGTAAACTAGTTTATTATTTAAATTTTTTTTTAAATAGTAATATTTTTTTGAAGTAGCTAAATTAGTTTTAAACGTAATACCTAACTTTTTACAAAATACTCTTTTTGGAAATTCTCGGTCTTCAGTAAGTCTCAAATTATTCATTATCCGTAATATGATATTCATACTTTTTTCGTTCGTTGAACTATACTATCAATTTTTATTTTTCATTTGTCAGTGTCTTTCTGTTACTATATGTATATATATATTATTATATATATATAGTATTGTTTGTGACTACAAATTAGGTTGGTAAATAAGTGAAGTTATTTATGTTTAATACATTGATTTATTTTTAGAGAAGGCACAATTAAGGTCGGTGATCATTTATTAGCCGTCGACGGTGTTTCATTGAATGGCTTGATATTGGCTGACGCTGATGCAATACTCAGACAGTCGGACGGAGCATGCCGATTGACCGTGCGATACCAAGTATCAGCGGCGGATCGAGTCGGTAACACCACTTGTCCAATGTTGGTTGAAGTTGAAAGTCCAAGACCACACCAATTGGGTTTAACTCTGACAAACACGATCAATAATAGCGCGGTCGTAGTTGACCACGTAAAACCTGGTAGCATTGCCGAGCGGTAAGTATATCTATATAGTAATCTATAGATTTAATATTTATACGCATATTACAATGTCAATATAATAAGTATATTGAAACAAATTTAGAATTTGAGCTGGCGATCTTTTTAATTAACACTCTATAATATACTAACCATATAAACTTTTGACAATGCATATTACCGTGATGTGAAATTATATTTTGCCGAAGATGCGGTGCTATATTTCCTGGTGACCAGATAGTGGCCGTCAATGACACGAGGGTGGCCGGGTTAAGGACAGCTGCCAGTGATGTGTACAAACTGTTACGGACGTGTGGAGGAGCTCAGTCCACTCTCAGACTAGAAATAATACCAGCATTTACCACAGACTTAATACACGCCGAATGTAAGTGCGAATGTATCATTATATTCCGTATTTGAGCCAGTGGCGGTTCTAGCGTATGGGCAGCTGCCCATAACAAAATTTCTAATGCCCCTTATTGGGGAAGGGGGAGGAAACGAGGAATATTATTCGCAGTTAAAACCTTATTATAAATCTACTGTTGCCCATACGAAAATGTAGTCCTAGAACCGTGCCTGATTCGAGCATACCCCATCCGAGTTATATAATTGTTCTAAAACGTTGTTTTTTCAACGTCGATCTATTTTAATTCACTGTTATGGATTATACATTTATACGATAGTTAAGCAGTGTTAATTTCTCAAACAAAAAGGACAAATAAAGGTACCTTTAAAATTATGAAAACAAATATGATCTATATATATTTAATTTGTTTTGTGTAACCATCATTCTATAGGCGTGTAACCATGATTGTGTGTACCTATACATTAAACGTAAAACCGTATGGCTTGTAAATTTAAATTGCACAATATTCATATTTTCTAATTAAAAATTAAGTTGTATCAAAGTTATTGTGAATCTTAATAAGTAGGTACCTAATAAAGTTCTCGAGCAGGTGTTGATATTGTCCTAATCGCATTCCCTTCAAATATGTCACTGACATTAGGTATAGGTGCCGATATTTATGTAACATTTTTATAATATAAACCTATTACACCTACACGTTTATAGATTGCTCGTCGTACGATTCTCGTCAACATTTGTACTCCGTATACGAAGATCCCATCGATCCGGTAGTTTGGGAACCAACGGAAACGCGTAAGATTGTTTATTATTTTATAATTATTCTCATGTAGACTTTGTCGTCTGATCATTATACCATAATTTACAAATAAATAATTTAAATTTCAACAAAATTTATTATGCGCATAGACAACGTGGTACGAGTAGATTACACTATATTGACATTGGTGGCAGACGAAAATGGTCGGTTCGGAATGGACATTCGATCCAATAACTTGGCACTCGTCGTTTGTTATATTGAACCGGGAGGACCCACTGACAGGTTTATTTCATATTAAATTTCCTTTTTCTTGTAACTTTCTCGTTTAATTACATTTTTTTTTTTCCTAGGACCGGTTGCGTGCAAGTTGGCGATCGTATACTCTCTGTGAACGGGTGCAAGAGCACCAGTTTCGTGCCATTATTCCAGCAACCATTGCACGATTTTTTAGGACCCGAAGTAAAAAACGCCTGCATTAAGGTGGAGTTTGATATAACAGACTTTGTAGTTCCCACGTCGGGAGAATTCACAGTGAAGCTGCTGAAAAACGACTACAGAAGTCTCGGAATCACGATAACAGGTATAAACCGTGGTCGTATATTACGTACAATAATAATATGTGTACAAGTACAATGTATAATATAATATAATGACAATAATCTGTTTTCCAATTTGTTATGCTATGTGGACATTTGTAACTATTGATCATATCACATTAATCGGTACTCATAAGTATTATAGACGATATATTGTATTATAGACGATGGCAACGGGCAAGTGTGTATTTCGGAAATCGTACCTGGTTCTATAGCTCATCGGTCGGGAACGTTAAAAATTAGTGATACGTTGTTGGCTGTGAATAATAAATCACTGAGTGATTGCACTAGACAAGAAGCAAGTAGTATACTCCAAGAAGCCGGAGACGTGGTGACGCTGCGAGTACGGACTTCCAATACAGCGATAGGTAATATAATATACTTGCAATATACGTCTTACATTCTTACCTATAACTTAAAACTGCAGTGGTCGAAGTGGGAGGGGGAGACACGGTGGGATGGCATCTCTCCACTTTTCATAATTTATATTTTCCACTCCTCCTCTTATTTTGTCGAAAATAATACATCGCCCTTATAACTAGATAGTTTTATAATATTAGTTTTACAATAATACAATGAATAATGACAATAAGTATTTAATTATAAATAAGTATTATTACATTTTTGATAAGAAACAAGTACCTATTTGCAGTTTGTTCGTTTAAATTGCACCATAATGTGACAGCTAAATATAGGTCACAGACTTTTATAATACGTATAATATGTATTATAGAAGTCTGTGATTTAGGTCTAGGGACGTTAGGAGCTTACATGTTTTTCAATAATCATTCAAATCACAGCTAAATAATATTTACATTTGTTTCATAATACTAGGAGTTCAAGGCAATATTTTTTTATTTTAGATATATTTAGCTCTTTTTTCCATAAAAGTGCATATTTTGTTATATACTTATATTTGTATTTGAAGTGAATTTTTTACATATTGCCTACAGTCTACACAATATTTAATATGAATTTTCAAGAAATTGAAAAAAAAATCGAGTAAAATGATTCAATATTATTTGATAATTGTAAAAATAAGACACAAAAGCAAAAACCAAAAAATATATGCTATACGTATATAAAATTGGAGGTATTATAAAAAAAAGTATAAGGAGCTTAACTTCCACCTCCCTCCACCACCCACATAGTGTACAACTTATTTGTTTTCCTGACGTATTTTGTCGGGTACATGAGTTGGGTCCAGCCTATTATATAGCGTTACCCAAGAGACGTCACCACGTGGATGTTAGCTAGAAAGTCTCTAGACAATATTATGTTTTTAGTTGCCTTTACTCTGATCTAAAAATTATTAAAATATTAAAATATTTATTATATTAGCTTAATTTTACCTGGAAATATTAACATATATATGTATATTCTTTCTATCGTTAATATTTTTATTATAATATTCCTAGTTTAAATTAGGGAAAACATTTAAAAGACATACCTTTCATAAAACTTAACCGGGTTGTTCTTCACTAGTAAAACAATCCATAATTTCTATTAAAAATTTACTTTTTAAGCTCGGCTGTTTTGCTGAGCTCTGAAAACCAAAGTAATATGTAAACTCCACTCTGAATTCCAAGTAAAATGTCTATTAAAACAAATATGTTGAGGTGAGCTGCACAGAAACTCGCATTTAAAAAAAGCAAGTTTCAATTTGTTATCCGACTACAACTATCCGACATTCGACAACGGTCACGTCGTTATCAACAACATAAAAATAAAATACTACCACAGTACCTACCGAGGACCCAATAATTCGAGTAAATTATCAATTATTATTTATTACCAAGGAAAAAATTGAGACTCGTGTTTAATTTAAGCCATCAAATATCTCGGAACCTAACTTGAGTTTTGACTTAAATAGTACGGTATATTCATTATAAGTGGATATTTAAACATTATATGATTTATTAGAATTACGTGGATTAAATATGATTATTTGATTTGGTTTATTAGATGATTATGAAAACGAAGATGATTTGGTTCAGTACACAGTAGAACTATACAAAAAAGGAGAACCTTTGGGTATTACCATCACAGGTTCGGAAGATTCCCGATTACCAATTTCTATACAAGAATTATCACCAGGTATCAAAAATTACCAAAATATATTATTAAACATTAAGTTCCGATTATATTATTTAAATAAATTACATATTGAGCTTTTTTTTGTTTTTGTTTGTAGGTTTTTGTTGGTAGATTTTTATTGGTGAGGGGAACACGTATTTGTTTGTTTTGGCAGAATTTTTGGTTTGGGCACCCGTAGGTATCTGCCATGCCCGGGCGTGGGATGGCGGCACTTGTTCTCCGGTAGTCCCCTGGGCCACTCCGTTCCCCATATTTAGTTTTGATTTGTCGTTTATTGTGTATATACAGAAATAGGCTAATCAAAGTTAAATGAATATTGAGCATGCTTTAATTATTATAAAATATTAAGTTTAATTTTAATCTTCACGATTTTCATGACATAAATTAGTAACGTTTAAACATTATTCTAACCAGTTTTAATTAGTTGAGCTTAGGGCTGTTCGATTATTTTGTTTACCACTCAATTATTAATTTCATATTTTATCGATTATTTCGATTAATCGAAAATGAATAATCAACCGAAAATCGATTTTAAAACGACTGATTAATCGGTAACCGATTTTTTTAATAACTGAATAACCGATTAATCGATTTTTTTTAATGACTGATTAACCAATTTTTTTTAATGACTGAGTAACCGATTAATCGATTATTTTACTAAGATTATTTTATTCACAATAATATCATCATCTTATATACATTTAAAAAAAATAGTAGGTTAGGTTAGGTAAATAGTAGGTAATATCATAGACTGACGGTCTTCGCTCAGAATCGTTTTTCTTATACAATGACAATATGTCATTGAATTCAAATTTGACACAATCCATTACAGTGACCCACTTGTAACCTACTGTACACCAGAGTGACACCCACTTGCCCAACTTTTATTTTGTTGGATCCAATAATAATAATAATAATAGATATAGCCAGTTTGCGTATTGCGTTATATTATATAGTTCCATGGAAAAATGCTGACGTACAATACAACAGATAAAAATCGCTATAAAAACTCGAATCGTTAATATGAGTTACGGTTATTATTTTTACGCCATACACGCAAACTATAAAACCTAATAACAACCACATAAATATTACAGTACGTACAGTTGTTGCGTTTTTTAATTTTATCAGAGGTATACAATTCACGTTTTTTAAACAAAATAATAACATAGAATTATAGATAATATGATAAGTAGGTATTATATTTTTCAATATACAGGGCGATTCACCAAGCATGCTCCCCACTTTCATTTTCTTCTTCAATAATGCACTTGTTAAAAAATGATTTTTTGAATTTTTAAATATACTCTAAGACCGTATTTCCAAATTCTTAAGACTTTTCGTTCGGCATGAGGAGTATCCTGCCCGGAGATACAAACTTTTATTTATAAAATGGCAACCCCATTGTCTATTATAAATTGTTTCACGGATAATTTTTCTGAACATTAATTGTACGCATCAAATTCAACTTCAAACTGGTAGTTTTTGAGTTATTTAAATTGGTGTACTAATGATAATAGGCCCATGATAATGGGTTTGAAAGAAATGGAATATACGATAGTTAATATTAATCGATCAATATTTTAATTTATAAAATTGGCCAAAGTATAATAAATACTAGATCCAATAGGCAATATTACATTTATAACAATATACTATGTAAAATAGATTAGATTAGATTTTATAATTTTGTAAAACCATTTTTGATAACATAATAATTAAGTATTAACAGTTTTATAACTAAAAACTACTCGTTCATATGTTGGTATACCATCACTAGGTATATCAAAATGTTCAAACAAATTATCATATTATATACATTTAATATTTAAGCATTTGCGGATTTACCCGTAACACGAAATGGGTCAGTAAAAAACGACAAAAATACTCGGTTAGAAAATATTGGTACCAAGAAAACGCATACCCCTAACAAAAATAATACTAGGAAAAAAATATGGCAGAAAAAAAGGAACATTATTGCTGAATTATAAAACAAGTGCCATAAAAATATCCTAGAAATCCTCAAAGTTTGTCGGAGATAAAGTATTACTATTGTCTATTGACAAGGGCTTTGTATAAAAAATCATCTCTATATTTACGCCGTGTCCTATACGTGAATCCGAAAAATGCGACAGAAAACAAAACAGTTTGTATTTCTTCGCATCGGTCTGATCGTATGGCGACGGAACAGCATAGTCAGAATAGAAATCGTCGGATTTACGTAGGATACGGCGTTATATAGTATGATTGGCTGGATCTGATGAACTATTTTATTTTTGTATTGGACGATAGTTTGGTATAACACATCAGTATCACATACAGAAAAGTATAAAACTATGCGAGGCAAATGATTTGTTTAATGATGGACATTTTTCTTAGGCCCTTGATATTTTTACATTTATCATACTACACTATACAGTGGTGGATCTTTTTTTTTTTTTTTTGAGGGAGCTCATTGTGCTTTTCAAAGTTTTACGACACAAATATTTAAAAACAGCTTAATTTATTAAGCTAGATGCTAGGCCAACGGAAAGGGGGCGAGCACCTCTATCCCCCCTTAAATCCCCCACTGATACAATATACGGGGTGATCCATTTAAAGTAATACACTAATTATTTCAGAAAAACACTAACATTTTTTAAAATATTTCTTTTATAACATGTTAAGTCCCTATATAAAACAAAATTATATTTTTATAGTTATAATTTTAAATGCGTTAAATATCGTTGAAATACACGCTCGCATTAATCATCGGTCGTAAATCGTAATATTACACTATAATATCACTGTGAGTTGTGACGTTCTGTATTATTGTGCTGCAGGTGGGCTGGCCGACCGGACGGGCGCCATACACGTGGGCGACCGTCTGCTGGCGATCAACGGCGCGGACCTGTCCGAGGCGCCGCTGTCCACGGCCATAGCGCAGCTGCAGAACACCGACGACCGGGTGGTGATCACCGTTTCGCGACCGCAACCACGGTCGTTGTACACCAGCGCGGGTATGCTGTCCGGGTCAGCCGCGGCCGCCGAAGACTCGGCCATCGAGTCGGACACCTGCACCCGGTCGGCGCCCAACTTGCACGAACCGACGCCCGACCGGATCGTGTTCCGGCACCGGTCCAAGAGTGCTCAGAGGAAGGTGCCGGAGTTCGACAGCGACTATTTCGGCGGCACCCTCCGCCCGTACTACATACGCGAGCACGCCGACTACGATATCGACAGCATATTCAAGATAGCCGAGAACCAGGACAGGGACGGGCTGCTCGATTTCGACCTGTTCCAAGTACGTCCGTTCTGGTGCAATATATCGTAGATTATTAATATATAGCCACGATGTCGATATTATAAATTTCCCCTGCAGGATTTCGGCCTGCTTCACATATTATGGGCGATTGTGTAAATTCTACCGATTATAATAGTAAATTAATTTTCATAGGTAAATTCCACTTTTGATCTGTAAAATAAATTAATGTAATGTTAAATGTTAGGTTAGGTTAGGTTAGGTACTACATACGCGAGCACGCCGACTACGATATCGATAGTATATTCAAGATAGCCGAGAACCAGGACAGGGACGGGCTGCTCGATTTCGACCTGTTCCAAGTACGTCCGTTCTGGTGCAGCATATCGTAGATTATTAATTATTATGCTTATCGTTTGATAATAATACATAGCCACGATGTCGATATTATAAAGTTCCCCTGCAGGATTTCGGCCTGCTTCACATATTATGGGCGATTGTGTGAATTCTACCGATTTTAATAGTAAATTAATTTTCATAGGTAAATTCCACTTTTGATCTGTAAAATAAATTAATGTAATGTTAAATGCTAGTTAACTGTATATGTACTAAATTTGATTATAAGCTGTGCTTGTGGCCTGTGGGTGGCATGACGAGGGGACTGATGAGTACCTGCAGGTATTATAGCGTTACCACTACTTTTTTCAAATTAGGACGCATTGATCTGTAGTTATTAAGGTTTTTTTTATAAAATCACAAAGGAAGTATATTCTTATCAAAAAATTGTTTTATTGTAAAGGCGTTCACTTGTTATATTTTCAACTTAAAGGGACTTCTACAGTATCTATACATTCTACATGACTACCACTAAATTCGTGTTTGGTTAGGTTAGGTTTTTATTTACTCTTTTTCGTCGGTGAATTCGTTTTATTTTAAAATGTTATCGAAATCGCAGTAGTTGTACCTAAATATTACATAATATATGGGTCATAGCTAGGGCTGCGAATATAACGCCCTATAAAATTCTAAAAAATGCCCTTAAAAAAAATACTCGAATGCCATAAAAATTCTAAATAATGCACTAAACATTTTTTTTGCCCCTGTCTACAAATACACTTCAGACATATTGTTATAATACCTCTACCTTTTATTTTATTTAGGTTACTCTATTCAAGGACACGGTATACGAAGATTTCGGTTTCAGTATATCGGATGGTCTGTATGAGCGAGGAGTGTTCGTCAACAATATCAGAAAAGGTGGACCAGCCGATTTGAGTGGCATGTTGAAACGATACGACCGTATAATTCAAGTAGTTGTTTATTTTATGTTATAGTATAATATGTAACACTATATTGTATATTAATATATATACGTGGTGGCAGCCAGCAGTGTGCACTAATGTTATGTATAAAAATTTGAAAAATGTGCAACATCTTGCACTTTTATATTCTAAAAATACATGAATACGGATTTTTTTTAATAATACAATTTTGGCAAGAAAACATATTTTTTGTTATTCTAGTCGTGTTTAAAGGACTATTTAAAATATTGGAGTAAAAAGTATTACCTACTTATTATTATTTATAATAGTAGGTAATCTATTCGGTAAATATTAATGTATTAATTTAAATTTTAAATTTTAATAATATATTATCAAGCATGATAAATGATAATGAATGGTGATACATATGGGAATCACCAAATCATAATATAAAATATATTATGTAATATTGTATGGATATACCTAGTATTTATAATTATACTTGGATAATTTTTATAAACTATTAATATTGATAGAATAATATTAATCACTAACATTTTAAAATCGCCATATGACAGTCATCCTTTATTACATAATGGAGCTCATATTATCCTTAGAACACAAAGATAAATAATTCAAAAATTACTCATTTGAATTTTAATTCTTATAGCCTATAGGTACTTCAACATTTTCAGAAAACTTATGCGCTAAATAGTTTACTATACTATAGAAAAGAGGGTTCTTGTTTGAAAAACAGAAGTTGGTATCTTCAATGGGATTCTCCTTAAGTAGTTAAAAAAATCTCAAAGAATTTGATAACATGGTCCTTAAATATATTAAAAAATTATCAAAATCCTATTTTAAATAACTGTATTATTGATGAAATAAAGGGGGGGGGGGGTCAGCTCGCTTGGTCAATCGCACTCTGTAATCTGTATATACAATATATTCATTGTTAAATATTATAAGCGTAGTTATTCATATTATAATATGATCCATCGACATTTTAGTTAATATAATATAATAATACGATGTATTGCATATGGACATAAATCGAACTATATGATTTTCTGCAGGTGAACAACACCAGGACAGACGACTCCGACTGCTGCCTGACCGTACCATTGGTGGCGTCTGCTGGAGACAAAATCACACTGACCGTAGAAAGACGGAACAACATGCCGAGAATTCAATTTCCTTAGTCGATTGATAATCACGTACCTATAACATTTACTACTGCACAGTATATCTTAAAAACTCGATTCCACGAAATCCAATTTTGATTTAGGGCTGAGTCACTCCTTGCGTTCTAAATATATATACGTTTGACTTATGTATTATTTATATTTTTTTTCTTTTTCAAAACGTACTACGCACTATATATATTATATTGATAACAAGTAAAACTCTAATCCTATAATATAACCATCGTAATTATTTGATAAGTATTATTCGTCAATATTTCAATTTTATTTTAAGTTAAAATCTATATTATATATAATATGTTACATTTTTATATTTAATTTTTTTATACTCATTATTTTTATTTTGTCCGTTAATTATATAAGTGATTATTTATATGAGCGCGTTTGTGCGTGTGTGAGTGCGTTATGTGTGTGCATGTGTATGCGTGTGTTTGTACATGATGTTTTTAAACTGGATATTTTGGGAACCTAATTGAATGTATACTATAATAAACTGTAATTTAATAATAATCATTTGTGATCATTTTATTTTTTATGAACTCACTTTTTTTAGTACGCAGTGCACATTAGAAAAATATCCGTTTATAGGATGCAGATATAGAAATACTATTCAGTTACCCCAAAAATATTTCTTTTTAAATTTTCCATATGTGCGTATAATTTTTATAATAATTAATTGTTATGCCAACTATCAAAAACCGAAGAAATAGAGTACTGCCCATGGCCAAATAATATTTGACCAAGTTACCACCTAAATAATTATAACTGTACCTTTCATCTATTATTCTATAGTTTTATACTTTAGAGTTAAGATATGGGCAAGGGTATTTTCTTTTTGTATATCCACGGTGCACTAATATTGCATAACCAGGACGCCGGGTAACAATGTGATGAAAAAAAAAATACACACTATAGCTCCTCAGATCAACCACTTCGAAGCATTCACGGATTCAAACCAAAGTTTTGGGATGGGAGGGGGGCAACAATTTGTATACAACACAAATACAATTACAAATTACAATATTGAATATACACTTTATTCTAAATTTAAAAACAAAAGAAAAATTATGGAAACACTGGAATTTATACTCAAAATAATCGTTTTTGGTTTTTGTTGTAAGTCTAAAACAAATTACCGTAGATACATAAAATGTTGACTGAATGTTTATTGTTTATATTAGCATTTTATTATATTTTTACTTGTTTTAAGCTACATTTTCTGTTTCCATTTTTTTAGTTTTTTTCTATACCTAGCTAAATGTCAAAAAGATTTTATTCGTTGGTTAAAATAGCACCGACAATTAATACAAAGCTCATAATATATTGTTACAAAGGCAGTTGAAAAATATTAAAAATACATAATCACAATTTTTTTATAAGCATTTCAAGTTTAAATTTTGACGAAATACGTAAAAATCACGAACATTTGCAAATTATTTTGAATTCATCAAAATATTTCTTTATAAATCTAAGATATGACAATTTAGTACAATAGGTATTCCTCATAAGTTTGTCTTATACCTTTATCAAAATGTCTACTGGAAAGTCAAATTTAATTGTGATGAGCGTTTACAACATTGGATATTCACCCATGCATTTCACCGTGCACACGTATATAATATACAATATATTTTGTACATGGTACATGTGCACATGTATATAATGTAATTATATTACATTTATACTATATGTCTGCAGGCCCAGATAAAAGCAGGTATATAGACGTATAGTAAATTATACATCTTATGGTATCATTTACAACTCTTGTCACGTGAGCTATAAGGAACGGATTACTTTTGACGTGTACACAGAGTCTGATTCATTGTTATTAGAGGTACCTACTGGCTACTACGCCTTATTCAACTGTAAAAATAAAAACTTATCTGTCGATTCGTTGCCGCACACATTATAATATAAGCGTGTATAAATGTCCCATCACAAGTCACACATAAAAAGTCGTTAAGCCCGGTCCAGACCAAGAAACATTTGTAGGAAACATATGCGTTTCTGACATTGTCGTCGACAAATATTTATGTTACCGCTTATGAGCGGAAATCGGAAACATTGTCGATGACAATGTTGGAAACACTTGTTTCCGACAAAATTTTCTTTGGTGTGGACGGGGTTAAGACGACGACTGGTATTATATTATAATACAATACGCACGATGTATTAATTTGGTTAGCTGATAAATAGAAATATTGAATTGACGGACAATAAAACATTATTATAGTACTGTACTATTACAATCTATAGCAACAAGATTTTTGTTGATTTTTAATAGGCTTGAATAGAATATATTATAAGATACCTACTCTATATTCCATATTATTAAATGCATGAACTTGAAATTTTTGGAAATGCAAGGAAATTAGAGTTATAATATCACGAAATTATATAATGCGTTGTGGATAGGTATTATGAATATTCCTTATTCTAGCCCCAATAAAATTGGTAATTGATAATTGTGTAAGGAATTTAGGAATCCAACTTACCATAGGTATTAAAGTATAATATGTATGAGCACAAAATAATTAAAAACTACTGATTTTCTTAAAACGATGAAACATTTTAATGGCCTATGCCTAATAATAATATTAAATTATAATACTGTAGTGTACCTGTGTACCCATGTCGTACCCATGTAGTCATGTAGGTATGTTACGGTAAAAGTACGAATAGCGGACATTTACCGATTGATTTCGGTAAAACCTATAGGATACACAATATAGTTTAGTCAAACCCCGAATGATTTTTGTAGTTTTGACTTTTACAAACGAGATTTGGTAAATCTTAGGAAAAACAATCAGGGTTCGTAAAAGTCCGAAATTGTTTACCAAACCGAAATTATTATATTATAATATATTATGTTAAATTAAATTAATGTTATTATTATATATTATCACAAAGCATTTTTATTTTTACATGCTTTTCTTTAACTCACAATGTTTCATTCATTCATTCATTCATTTCTGTTGTCATCAAATCTTGCGAGTTCAATTTAAATCACTTCTACATGACCTAGGAGGCTCAAATTTTGTATGGAGGTCTAGGGTCGGTGACAATACATGACCCCGTTGTCAATTCGGGGCTAACTCAAAATGTGGGGGGTTGGGGGCTTTGGTTCCCTTATGGTGGAAATTCATCTGGGGCCTTAAAAACTGAGTTATATAAAAAGTTATACTTGGTCAAAAAAAAAAAGTGAAGTGGGGGGGGGGGGGGGAGTGTCGCTTCTATATTATTCTATAGTCTATTTAAAATAAGATCAGGCTACGGCGGCCAAGTTGTGCGCATGGGCGTGGCTTCACTACGAGCACGGACCTCGAACGGTTGATGTAGTGGGGGCTAAAATAGGTGGAGCCTGACACAGAACAATATTATTATAGATAGGTGTTTCAATATTTAATCATTTTATACTAGTTCGTGAAGCAAGAAGGAAGCTTTTCAAGAATTTCTACGGTGAGTTGTTGTCTGTTGACTATTATAATTATATTAATTCTTTAAACATGAGAAATAAAGAGACTAAAAAAAACATAAAAAAAATTATGCTTTCAAAAAATCCTTTGTTTCTAATTTATTGTTATCACTAAAAAGTAGGAAATAAAAAACATGCTTTTCTTAATTCTACTTAATAAATCCCGGAAAAAAATCCCCGACCCTAGGAAAAAAAATCCCCAGACTACAATATTACTCACAACCTCATGCAAATGGTTGAACAAATATTTTTTAAACGTTAATTAGTATCTATAATTAATATTTAATTACAAATACGTATATTATATTATATTGTTAAAAAAATTATATATTATAAATAATATTTTGTTTTAAATTACGATAATATATTATGTGTAATTCAAATTAAATAACTAACTTAACAACGTTACAAATAGATGTAGAATATAAAAATATTTTGAATTATCGATACGTCAAATAATACAGTTAAACACATAGTATACAAAAATATTATACAAAATATAGGTAATAAAAATAATATAAATAAATAACTATAAATAATTTTTGAAAAATTAAGAACAACATTTTATATTACAATATTAATATTTAATACACATTTTATGTTGGTATAATTCTGTAAAAATTAAATCCCTGAAATAAAATATTACGTTTTCAAAACTTCAAATATTACTTATGATTGTTGTGTGAGGTGTAGGTAGTGTACACAAATATATGAAGTATAAAAATATTTCGAGTGATCGATATACGTCAAAAAATACAGTTCAAAACATAGTAGGTATATAAAAATATTATAAAAAATTTAAAATATAGGTGGTAAATGGTAATATCAATAATAATAATAATTAATAACTATATATAATCATAATAAAATAATTATCATTTATCAAACAATAATTTATTGAATTTTGAATGTATTATAGTCACCTACTCACAGTAAAAACATAACATATACAAATATTTAGTATAGGTATAATATAGTAGGTATACAAACATTTTATACGAAATATAGGTGGTAATAATAATGATAATAATAATAATTATAGGTACCTATATTTTGTATAATATTTTTGTATACTAGGTACCTATGTTTTTAACTGTATTATTAATTGACGTATCGATCATTCTAAATATTTTTATAATTTTTTTAACAATATAATACAATAATACAATAATACAATATATATATATGTCATTAAATATTAATTATAGATACTAATTAACGTTCAAAATATATTTGTTCAACCATTTGCATGTGATTGTGTGTAATATTGTGGCTGGGGATTTTTTTTCCGATTACTCTACTTATAATACATGAACTAAAAAGTTGAAAATAAACTTACTTTTAAAACAATTTCTTAATGAAACTTTAAGGTTATCAAGATATTACTATAAGTGCAGTATCTAAAATGTATTTGTTGCAAAATTTTTAAAACTTGTGAATTACAAAAAACGAAAAGCATGGGGCACTTATGATAACTCCTATGTAAAGTCACTCTACAACTGAATCATTAGATAAACTTTAT